TTATCAAATTAACGCGGATAAATGAACGATTCGTATGAATTTATTTTTCTTATAGAGAAATGAAAGAGTAAATCAGTACCGAAAATCGAATATCGATCAATATCGTAAATCAGTGTTAGAAAATTGTCCAAGTGCAATGACAATTTGTTCTCATTTTTCAGGTACTTACCCCTCTAATCTTATTCAACAAATTAACTCGGATAAACGAACGAATCGTATCAATTTTTTTTGTCTTATAAAAGATTGAGAAAATAAATCAGTACCGAAAACCGAAGACTGATCAATATCTAATTTTTTCATCAAACTAACGCGGATAAATGAACAATATATATCAATCTTTTCTTTTTTTATAGAGAAATCAAAGATTAAATCAGTATCGAAAACCGGATATTGATTAATATACTATATCAGCGTTAGAAAATTGTCCAAGTGCAATGACAAGTTGTTTTCATCTTGCAGGTACTTACTCTACTAATTTACTCAATAAACTAAGTCGGATAAAAGAAGGATTCGTATCAATTTTTATTCTCTTATAAAGAAATTAGAGAATCAGTCAGTACCGAAAATTGAAGACCGATCAATATTTAATTTATTTATCAAATTAACGCGGATAAATGAACGATTCGTATGAATTTATTTTTCTTATAGAGAAATGAAAGAGTAAATCAGTACTGAAAATCGAATATCGATCAATATCGTAAATCAGTGTCAGAAAATTGTCCAAGTGCAATGACAATTTGTTCTCATTTTTCAAGTACTTACCCCTCTAATTTTATTCAACAAATTAACGCGGATAAACGAACGAATCGTATCAATTTTTTTTGTCTTATAAAAGATTGAAAAAATAAATCAGTGACGAAAACCGAAGACCGTTCAATATTTAATTTTTTCATCAAATTAACGCGGATAGATGAACAATTTGTATCAATCTTTTCTTTTTTTTATAGAGAAATCAAAGATTAAATCAGTATCGAAAACCGGATATTGATTAATATACTATACATCAGCGTTAGAAAATTGTCCAAGTGCAATGACAAGTTGTTTTCATCTTGCAGGTACTTACCCCACTAATTTACTTAACAAGTTAAGTCGGATTAAAGAACGATTCGTATCAATTTTTATTCTGTTATAAAGAAATTAGAGAATCAGTCAGTACCGAAAATTGAAGACCAATCAATATTTAATTTATTCATCAAATTAACGCGGATAAATGAACGATTCGTATGAATTTTTTTTTCTTATAGAGAAATGAAAGAGTAAATCAGTACCGAAAATCGAATATCGATCAATATCATAAATCAGTGTCAGAAAATTGTCCAAGTGCAATGACAATTTGTTCTCATTTTTCAGGTACTTACCCCTCTAATCTTATTCAACAAATTAACTCGGATAAACGAACGAATCGTATCAATTTTTTTTGTCTTATAAAAGATTGAGAAAATAAATCAGTACCGAAAACCGAAGACTGATCAATACCATAAATCAATGTCAAGAAAATTGTCCAAGTGCAATGACAAGTTGTTTTCATCTTGCAGGTACTTACCCCACTAATTTATTCAACAAATTAAGTCGGATAAAGGAACGATTCGTATCAATTTTTATTCTCTTATAAAGAAATTAGAGAATCAGTCAGTACCGAAAATTGAAGACCGATCAATATTTAATTTATTTATCAAATTAACGCGGATAAATGAACGATTCGTATGAATTTATTTTTCTTATAGAGAAATGAAAGAGTAAATCAGTACCGAAAATCGAATATCGATCAATATCGTAAATCAGTGTCAGAAAATTGTCCAAGTGCAATGACAATTTGTTCTCATTTTTCAAGTACTTACCCCTCTAATCTTATTCAACAAATTAACGCGGATAAACGAACGAATCGTATCAATTTTTTTTGTCTTATAAAAGATTGAAAAAATAAATCAGTGACGAAAACCGAAGACTGATCAATACCATAAATCAATGTCAAGAAAATTGTCCAAGTGCAATGACAAGTTGTTTTCATCTTGCAGGTACTTACCCCACTAATTTATTCAACAAATTAAGTCGGATAAAGGAACGATTCGTATCAATTTTTATTTTCTTATAAAGAAATTAGAGAATCAGTCAGTACCGAAAATTGAAGACCGATCAATGTTTAATTTATTCATCAAATTAACGCGGATAAATAAACGAGTCGTATCAATCATCGTATCATCAATTTTTTTTCTTGTAGAAAAATGAAAGAGTAAATCAGTACCGAAAATCGAATATCGGTCAATACCAGAAATCAGTGTCAGAAGATTGTCCAAGTGCAATGACAATTCGTTCTCATTCCCAAGTCTTTCCCGAGTCGAAATATTAATTCTACATTGATCCTGCAAATTGCATCCAATTTGAAAAATCAATGCAGAATATTTAGATGCGCAATAGTGAACAAGCTTTGTCCTACCTGAACGTTACATCTGGCTACTCTCGCAGTCTCGCCCATGATGAGTCTTCAACAGCGACGTATTCCGCAGTTATTTAATACTCGTTTATCTTAATAATGTATATGTACTTAATCCTTATATTCTTAATTTAAATGAGCAATTTTTGTTGATGTTGATTATATATTCGCTTAACAGCGCAAGAAAGAGAACAAAGATAAAAACGTAAATAGAACTGCCTTTGTTAGAACTGCGCGTGAGATAAATATATAAGGATTAAATAATCATATAAGAATTAGAGGAAATGGGAGATGAAAAACACTTTTTATTCTCATCATTCTTAAAGTTCTTTTTTTCTTTTTTCTTCTCTTTTTTTTCTTTTCTTTTTTCTAATGAGAATGATGAGAATTGTAGCTCTCAAAAGAGCTGAAGCTGCAAAAAGACAACGGTTATGTCTAATAATGCTGTTTCACTTATAGAGATTTTAATTCTGATTCGGTACAATAAGAAAGATAAACAAGAATGAGAAACGGACATTCTAGCAGATTCTAAACGAAAACAGCAATCTGAGCATTATTAGACGAATAAAAATCAACACTTGTAAAATTTATATCAGATTCTAAGATCATTATTCATAGTTTTCTAAATTATGTGCAACTTTTTATTGAGAACATAATTAAAAATTTGTATTCATAAACCTTAGCTTGCTTTGGCAACCTTGCTTGAATAGATATTCATATTTTATGAGAAAAGAAAAGTAGAACTCATGTTACGTGAAATTAGGTTAACAAATAATCAAATCTCAAGCTATTTTATCATTTTTCAGATGATAAACTATGAATGCTGATCTAATTTCGACTCGGGTATGTCCTTACTTCGAGTAAGGTCCGTTAAAATCAGAAAAATAATAATGCGTAATAATAATAACTCGAGGTACCTCGAATACCATACATGTATCGCTGTCCTCGGCTACGTCTCTCAGCGCGCTCCAAGTCCTCTCTCCATCCTGACTTCTCGATCCGACGTCCTCCTTCTGGTTCTGGTCCTCCGTCGCAGCACTCCCAGATACTCCATCGTAGCACTGGCGACGACACTGACTCTAGCTCTAACACTCGCGCAAGTAAGATTCGGGGACAAAGAAACGCGTATTAACCGATACTCGTATTACTCTGCGTCGCGGTATGCGCGTCGTTCGTCGGCCCGAGGCGCAATGTCCTTTCCGCAATCACGGAGTCATGTATAAACGTACGAAAACAAACAATCGGGAAGGCACGGTTACCCCCCACCTTGCCGATCAGTGTTGATGCCTGCGTCGTCCGTTAGCTGAAAATGAAAACAACTCGTGTTTTCAAAGCATGCCTGTGAGAGACTCGTTTCAAACTTCACAATACTTATTTACGTCTGTTCCAAGAATCATATTACGCCGAATTCAAACTGTCTCTATTTTGACATGACGTACAAGAGGTCTGCGATCGCATCATTGATCTTTCTTTGGACAAGAAAATCCTGAGAGGAACGCTGTTCGAGAATATCGCATTTTATGTTTCAGGTGCCTTGCAGATTACCGAATCCGATGTAACAGATCAGGGAAAGTATGAATGCATCGTTATGAATAACACGCGTGGGCACGGAGTACTCCAAGTCAATCACGTTATACGTGAAACGTACGTATATTTAATTATTATTATTATCATCCACACGCACGAGTCGAGACGTGCGAGTGTACATTTATTTTCTAGCTTAATTAACGAGTACACAGTCTCAGTGTTCTCGCAAGAGAGAAAATGTAATTTACGTTGTATCTTATTAGACGCACCGTTGGAAAGATGAAAGAATACGGGCGAGGGGAGGGGACACATCCGAAGAAAAGTTGGCGGCTTTTTAAAACGTCGCAAACGGGACAACGTGTTTGTAGATGAAATAACGAATGCGGCGCATACGACGTCGTCATGTGGAGCGTACGATTACGAGTCTCTCTCGGTCTCGTCTCTTCTGTCAGAACGTTTCAGAGATAGGCAAATCTTCCCGTTCGAATCTCGAACAACTACACTATCATGAAACAAAGCTTCCATATTATAAAATATTTCCATAAAATATTTAGAGAAGGAAACAACCCAGTCGACACAGAACATTATATTTATGTTAAAATTTCGCACTCAACAATATAAATGTAATATAACACACATGGTATTGAGTGCGAAATTTTAATATAAATGTAATGTAACTATGTAATGTGCTCTGTGTCGACTGGGAATTACTGCCTGCTCTTGTTACGAATTACGAATGTAACAAGAGATAATAATTCGGATAATAATTAGAAGATGCAATTTTTTACACAAATATATATAGAAATGCATATGTAGAGAAAAAGAATCATGTGCTGTTGAACGAGGTGTAAGTTTGTGCGCGATGTCGTGTCTCTCAAACAAATTATAGGCGTACCACAGACACGGACCGCCAGTAAATGGGCGTAGAACGGACACGCACCAAATAGAGACTTTACCGGCAGCGTGTAAATGGTCGTAGTCAACGTAGTTTCCGGCTACAAATGGGCGCAGATGGCGTTAAGATCAGTCATCAAAATGCATGTCGCGAAAAACGCCGGCGTGGCCGCTCTCAGGCTTCTCTCTGGTATAACTCAACGACAAATCAGCCAAATGTTATTTTCAAGTAATATTCCCCCTGAATAATGGATTAAACGACTTTTTAAATTTGAAAGGAATGCGAATTTATGTATATTGTTATTTCTTTTTTCAAGGAGCGTGTTTTAACGACAAGATAAACGACTGTTTATGAGCAAGCAGTACGATTCAACAGCACGTCAGCCGAGCTGCATCTTCGATGAGCTTAACGTGTTTAACGCGTTGAACGATGTGTTAAAGGAACTTTTATCTATTAAACTTGCATGACATTGGAGTTTCTCGATTGATTTAGTTGCCTCCAAACGATACGCATATCTTGTGTCAATTTGCACGAGATATATCTTGCGTAAATCTTGTTATATTTCGGAACGCGCTTTTGCAGGAACGTCAAAAGTGCGGACTGTGCGGATTTGCGATGTGAGGTGATCGGAGGTAACTGAAAATCAAATTGCGTCAGTGATTTTCCGCAGAGTGACACAAATGGCAGGCGTTTAATCAAGAGTCAATCGAACACGATGATGTACAAGTCGAATGGATGCAGAATGTCTACGAGTTCGCTGAAGTCTCGTACATTTCGTACGGTTGCACGTACTAGAGATTCCGTCGTTGACGAGGATGAAGAAGTGCTGCTGAATGAATAATTTGCACATGACTTTCGAATGGAAAGGCAAAACAATGCGAGTGATTGTCGGTTGAACAATTTCCAAGGAGCATCTCTTTGTACCTTCCTTCGTATTGCTCAAGAGAGATGCGCTTCTCACAGAATACTGCTCATACTTTTCAATAATTTTTGGAAGTTATCCAAATTTACGCGATTAACTGCGAGAATAATTTCAAGATTGTACTATAAATTACAATTATTCTCGCTTTTTGCTTTTATGATTAATTATTTATTTCTATATATTGAACGTTCACATATCATCGTAAAACAATAAGAATAAAAAGAGGATATTTAACTTTTGACTATGAAACAGATGCTGTTGGAGCATCAGTAGTATATTGAAACAAGATATATCTATTTGATCACTCCGATATTATACACTTTATGAGATACTCCTTTTATAAATATCATTCAGTATGGATAATATTTGGAGAAGTATAAGATTTAAATATATCTTTGTCTGCATTCTGATCACTTTTGTCACATCATGTATAATCAGCATAGCACCCATCAGCATTGGTTAGTAGATGAAAATCGATGATTCAGAAACAGTTTCTTTGAATGTAAATGTTTTAGATGAGTGCAAGTGTGAAACAAATGCACAATCAAATCAACATGTTAAACAAATAACTGATGAAGCTAATAAACATAAGAAAACATCTCAGCATCAATTAGCTATATTGGTGCCATTCAGGGATCGTTTTGAGGAACTGCTGATGTTTGTACCGCACATGCAGAAGTTTTTAGACAAACAGGATATAAATTATCATATATTTATATTAAACCAGGTATTGCAGCAATAAATATACATACAAATCAAAGTATGTGATGCATTATATTTTTACAGGTGGACAGGTATAGATTCAACCGAGCGTCTCTCATAAATGTAGGCTTCCTTGAGACAGAGAAAGCATATGATTATATTGCAATGCACGATGTAGACTTATTGCCTATGAACGATCAGTTATCCTACGCTTTCCCAAGTACAGGACCCCATCATATATCATCACCAGACTTACATCCTCGATATCATTATTATACTTTCATTGGTGGTATATTACTCATTAAAAGGTATGTTTTGATAAAAGAGATCCCACAATAGCATATAGATTTACTTCAGCAATGAAAAAATTCCTTGCATGTACAGGGAACATTTCCTGCAAGTAAATGGCATGTCCAACAAATATTGGGGCTGGGGTCTTGAGGATGATGAATTTTATGTTAGACTGAAAGAAGCTGGTCTAAGCATCAGCCGACCACAGAATGTATCAACAGGAACACATAATACATTTAAGTGAGTCATTTTGTTGAAATAGTATTATTATTTGTTATTTTAATGTCCAAGTTCATCATGGAAAAACTGGCAAATATTTTAAGATTTTAGTCTAATTATTACATGAAACATGCATTGCAGGCATATACATGATAGAAATCATAGAAAGAGAGATATGGTGAAGTGTTACAATCAACGTGAAGTTACTAGAAAACGTGACCGACAGACTGGCTTGAATAATGTCTCATATAAAATACAGGATACAATTAAAATGACTATATCAGATACTCCCTTAACAGTGATCAACATTTCCTTACAATGTGATAAGTCAAGTACACCTTGGTGCGAGTGCGAGAAATTAGCTGGATCAAAGGATACGAGATCAAAAGAGAAAAAGAAGGTTAACAATAGTAAAGTCGCCACCGCGTTGTAATTATAATGCTAGTAATTTAATTGTTAACAATACTAGATAATTAAATATACTCGAAGAGCATTCACATATTTCCATGTTTTATATACTTTTCTTAAGTAAGAAAATGGTTCCCTATAGCTTGTTTGTAAAAATGATTTATTTTTACGTATTAATGGTATTTGTAGTATTTTATGTATTTTAAGAATTCTAATTTATTAGTTTGGAGGAAAGAAGTAGAATGTGAGGCTTAGTAAAAACTGTATATATATTTCAAGAAAGAATATTGAATAATTGAAATTATCATTTAGATAAACATTTCTGCAAAAGTTTCTCATGTAATCTAATTTATATATATATTAAATCAATTGTATATAATTCAATACTTTGAGAATCTCTATCATCTTTATAATTCTGTGTGCCTTTGCATGATTTTGGTTTCCAGATCCATATGAAGTTTCTGTACAGTTCTAACATGTTTCTTTATATGTTGTTCTGCAGTTGAGTTATCTAGATCATGAACTTGCCCTTTTCGTGCTGCTTCTAGAGCTCCTTCGGCGTGAAGATGTCGCAGTTTAAGTAGTCTTGATTCATAATGCAGGAGTTCCTCCTACAAAATACATGCAAGTTCATATTAACAAATATATATATATATACACGACTAATGGGTTTTTATTAACATGCGCGAGAAGAAAGAGAAACTATATAGACTGAATTCTAATAGGATTATATATTATACCTTTAATGATGCTAGCTCATCAGGAGGAAACTTTGCTTCTAGTGCAATTTTCCACAGCCCCTGTACTTTGGGTTCTACAAATTCCTTATGGTTTGGTCCCTTTGCAGTAAGTCTATCCAAACGATCGAATCCATTTCTTAATTCCAAATGTTTTTCCCTGGAATAAAGATTGTGATAAAAACTAATTTGTATACCAGTATATATAAAATATACATATGTACCGAAGTAAGTTTGCTTTTTCTTCATGATTTATCTTTTGGTTTGGTATATCGTTAGATAACTCTTCAGCTTCTTCTAATTCATTCCAGCTTTCTGGTTTAAGATGTAAATCATCTAAAAATATTAAGTAGATAGATATAAAATGTAAAAATAGCAGAATTATCAAGATATATCATATATATGTACATAAGACTAACTTTCGGACTTTGAATCTCCAGGCTGTGGGTCTTTCAATAAACTCATGTATTCATCTACTTTTTCCTGGTGATGATGAAATTCTTGTTTTAAAGCATCAAGCTCCTCATCTAAGATATACACAGGTATAATGTGATAAATATATATAGGTATAATTTATGAAAAATTTTTTAAACAAGATTTTTATACACTATATACCAGTAAAACCAGCCATTTCAGCTTTAGCCCATAATTTGTTCAGTCTTTTATCTTTAAAGATATCTTTAGCAACATAATTACTACCATCATTTAGTGCTTTGTGCATTTTAAGCAACTCTGGATTTTCTGTGTCAGCAAAATGTTCCAATAGACCATATGTGCTCATTATTCCTTTAATGAAATAAAGATACATTTGGTAAAATTTGGAATGATAGAGAAGAAAGATCAAAGTAACTAAGTTATTAGAATTACCAATGAGCTTTTTCCTTAGATGCGCTTCTTCTAAGCCTTCAGGGTCTTTTCCATCAGATTTAAAGTGTTTGTACGCAATTTCTTCTTTGTCATGGATCTTGAGATCACTGAAGATCGAATGTAGCTTAGAATCTGTCAGGCGCTGAAACATAGAATTAAGTATACATGTTTTTAATTATAAAAAAATATACAATATAATATCATATATATATATATATAGATTTATATAATTGTATGCTTACATTTTTTGCTTTAACCCAAAGTACATTGAGTTTTGCCATTCTGAATGGTTTATCCAAATCTTTAAGAGAATCTGGAAACTGCGATGAGTCCACATATTGAGCTTTGTTTGCTTCGGCAGAATATTTATTTTCTTTTGCAGTAGCGTAAATCAATACTAGACCCAGATTTAGCAAAAGAATAAATTGTGCGTTTATGAATGTCATTTTCACGTATTTAGAAACAATTAGGTATATGACGATGTCAACATGGACGTTGTGAACAAAGTCATCGCATGTCGCATTTACATGTGACATGTCGCTAGGGGGGTTGGGTTTGAATTGTCGTTTGAATTAACTGCTGTGAAACCATCCGTAATATAGATAAAGATTGAGGAATTATATTGATAATTGATACGGTGTGTGCGTATTGAGTGTAAAATATAATTGTTTTATTATAAATCGTATGTGTGACGATTTGATGATAGTGCGTAAAAATGCCCCCGAAGAAATTAAAGGTTATATTTTAAGAGTATACAACATATAATTATTTTCTTTATTTTTTGAAGTTCTTTTACAAGATAAGTAATAAGTTGAAGATTTAAGGAATGATGTGATATTTTATAAAATATAAACGGTGAACTACATAAAATGTATATATTTTTCTAGAAAATATTTTATACATTAATGTACATTTTGAATAATTTAGGATAATTTTAATTTCCAAGCAGTAAAATGTGTTGTAATATATATATAACAATGTCCTGTATTATATGAGTTTTATTGTAAAATTATATTTTATATGCTTTCAGGAAAGTTTAATTTTTCTTATAAATATTGGCGTGACCCGACATGGTACACAAAGTAATTCAAGCTTGCTGGATAAAGAAAAGTTTATTCTGAAACATATTATTCAAAAAAAGGTATATTTTTTATTGTGACTATTATTTGTTAGTGGATAAATATTGGCATCTATATTTCTATTATTTACAAAAGTAATTTATATTTTTTCTAGATATTTCTGCATCCAAAGGATGAAGTAGGAATAGTATTGATGGGCTCAGATTCAAGTGAAAATGACAGTGTTACAGGAATGGATAATATACGTGAATTATCCAATATGCAATTTGGGAATTGGAATTTGATAGAGAGTATCGACAAGTTACAAAATACAAAACAGAGTTCTTCCTGGATGGAAGGAATTTATGCTGCAGTTGAATATATTAAACATGAATGTTTGTAAGTACTTAAATAAAATATACATATTTTGTTAATAATAACTATATCTCATGCTGTTTTTATTTTAGAGACAATTCTGAGAGAAAAATAATGCTGTTGTCTGATTTTAACGAGGAGGAAGATATTGTAAGCCAATTTGAAGTTGATGACATCATTAAGACATTAAATTCGGAAAATATTTTTCTTATAGCAATGTATGTTATGTGTTGATATTCTTGATTTTGTTATTTATATTCATACTCATCTAAATAGTAGTAATTGGGAGATAATTGGAATAAAAATTAAATTATATGTATAGTGGGAAGAGACAGTTGAATAATATAGATGAAGATTCTTATACATCCAGTGAAGCATTGCTTAAAAAAGTTTTGGAAAAGGTAACTAAAGACATATTTGTTGAGTAATATATATCTGTAATCTATTATTTTCTTTACATTAATATGCATATTCTTATTTATATGATAATATATACTCAATTCTAATGAATATACGATATATGTTTGTAGGGAAATGGTCAGTATAGCACTTTTGAACATGCTATGTCGGAAGTGCGTTTCTACAAACAATCATCAACTAAACCGAAGCCATGGCGTTGCGACATGGAATTAGGCGACTTTTGTATACCGATTGCTGGAATTTCTAAAGTAAAGACGATTTTTAACAATTAATTACACATCTCTATATATTGATACACATTATTCATATTATCATTAGGTGATGAATGAACCAATGTTGCCAAAAATGAAAAAAATCGCAAAGACAACTGCAGCTGATTTAACAGAGAAGGAAACATTAATTAAAAACATCCCACAGTGGACGGACAAAGACAGAATTATTCACACAAAAGAAGATATGAGCTATGGTTACATGTATGGCAGCAAGCCTATTTTCGTTTCTGGTAACTTGTATTTAAGTTTTTGTATCTTACTATACCTAATTTAAATTTAGATGGTTGATACGGTGTATTGATCACAGATGATTGTGAGCAAAGCATGATCCCGAAAACTAGTGAAAAATGTTACAAGATACACGGTTTCACTGCAAGGGAAAATGTACCTATGGAATACTGGTTATCAGATGGCACATATGTTATTATACCTGCTGACGAGGTACGATAACGAAACTATTTCCATTACTCGGTAACTTAGTGTAAAGTTTAATATGTATAGTAGGATGAAGATAAATGGGTAATTCTTTGCAGTCGGTGAGTGCACCATTTTATAGTTTGGTGAAAGCCATGGTTGAGAAGAACGTAGTTGCTATAATAGAAAAGGTCTATAGGAAGAACACTGAAGCCAATATGGCAGCGTTATTCCCAAGCGTCGACGACCCAAATGAACCTTGGGTAAAAATATCCTGTTTGTTATTTTTTATCTCGCTATTATCGATCGGTTAATATCATGAACAATATATTTTTGGCAGTGTCTCATTGAAATTGGTTTACCGTTTGAGCGGGATTATGGAGCGATAGCGCAGCATCCGTTGAAGTTTATGATGAAGCAATTGTCGCAGGAACAGAGCAATGCCGTGGACGACTTGTTGACGTCTTTAGAATTGCCCGAAGAGTAAGAGTAACATTCAAGGATTTTCAAAATAATACAACATATTAATAACGTCCATTGTTCTTTTTAAACAGTGCCGACGAAGACTCGACCGTTGATGGCGATAAATATTTGCCAGGATGTATGCCGAATCCTGGTGCGCAACGTATGTGGGATGTACTGGCAGCTCGCGCATTACATCCGGATCAGCCGTTGCCGCCCATTACAGAGGATGTGAAAAATTTGCTGGAGCAACCCGAATCAGTGAGAGAGAACGGCAAACTGGCGTGTGAAAAAATAAAAAATTTGTTCTCTTTAGAAAAGAAAATATCTTCAAGAACCAAGAGGTAAGGATTTTTAAACATTTGACTCAATACAGGCGAGCGATAAACGGATATTTCTGCAGACATAAGAAATTGGAAGAGGAGAATGATGATAAAGCGCCACTTAACGAAGACCACGACATGCACGGAAACAACAAGGCACAGTCAAGCAAAGAACAAGAAAAAGATACCGGGGAAGATAACAACGAGGTATCGAAAAATACAACCTTTTTACCTGCTGATGATGATTTCGATTTTGATAAGATTGTAAGTATGCGAATCTCTCGAGTATTATCTTATCTGATTATCATTATCTTTTAGAGTTTGTAATAAATTTTTGTAAAATCACAAATATTATTACAGGCTAATATTTAAGAAGCTGCTGGCAGAGATTACACGATCATTGAAAAATTTACAAAATCGTCGAAAACTTTACAAAAATATTAAAAAAAATCATTGAATTCATTTATCTATTTTCACTAGAATCGTAATTTTATACACTGTATCATTATGTAGTGTGAAAAATATATCCTTACGTATAAAATAATTAGCGATACATATGACGCGTGTAGCATTACGCAAATGAAACGGGTTTGAGAAACTTGTATTACTTAAGATAGAAAACAGTGGAATAGACAGAGGTTAAAAGTGTTCAGAAAATAAATATGAGAGATGTTTGAAATTTCATGGTATTTTTACTGAAAATTTAAGAGAACAGATTGGAAGAAATTAAACACAAATAACTAAATACTGTAATGAAAAACAAATAATCCACGAAATGTCTTTTGTGTGGCTGTGAAACATTTGAACGTTTCAAAGCATATTACATAGCATCGAGAAATTGCAAATATCTCGTATTTATTTTTTGGATATCTTGTTCCAGTCAAGAAGTTTTATAAATATCTTACGCTTCACTCCCCCCTCTGCAAAGTATTTATATATATGGTAACATACGAGTCTCACGTGAGACTATCTACTATCTGTTCTTTACACAGGAACAAGATCTTTTCTAGATAGAATATTCAGAAGAGTTTATACTTATGCATGTGTGATAAGAGATATAATTTCATTAAAGCTTTTGCTTTAATGAACGGTATACTTGCACTTTTATCGTGCATTATTGTACTTACGAGAAAAACTAGTCTGTAGGAAAATATACTTCTACCTCTACTGCTTTTTACCATGTACACAAAAATTAGATTTCAAATATTCATATGTGTATATATATGCGTGTGATAAAATATGTGCAATTCAATGAGTGTCTGAAGAAGATCGGTTCTTATTTCTTGAACTGTTCGTGTGCTAATAGTAGTGATGACAATATAAGCGACTGAATAAGGGAAAGACGAGGTTGCCTGCCCACATAACGCCTACCTTTTAGTTCTCCGCGTACCGAAAATTCGTTGACGTCTGAATATTACTGTACGCTTGACCAAATAGAGAATGGTAGAGAATGATAGAAGAATGCTGAGTGGAAACGATATTATTTTACACATGTTAGAAGAATGAGGATTTCGAAGCGTCTTGTCGATAAATGTCTGCTTCAAACGCCAAGAGATCACGATTTTGGATTTTTGTGAGCAATTCTGCTATTTATCAATGTTACATATTCGCGTGAGATCAGAATTTTTATTCGAAAGAGTGATGTCTCGTGCATGCAACATACATCTTCAACTTATCTTCCCGTGTACGTCCCAACGTCTTCCTCCGTTTAGCTTCCTCAATTATTTCATCGACTTGATCCGCAAGGATGACGCGTGGCGATTCATCTTACCTCTATAAAAGGAAAGCCGCGCTTTGGCGCGGCGAGAGATCGTCCGTGAAACATGCGAATTCTTCAGCGGCGGGCTCTCTCATCTGAAACGCCCTGTATCCAGTGGCACATCAAAACACTCCAAGGCCCCGGAACGCTCGAGCCGGAAACGGTATTGTTATCCACGTCTTTATCCTATAAATCTACATCTTATATGGGAGAATATTACATTAGACTTCACTTCAAGTAGCAGATTCAATATCGTCATATCTCGCCCACATATATACCAAACATAACGAGTATCTCACGATCACTCCTCCTTTCCAGTCTGCCTTGTGCTGGAGGCTTCGATGGAGAACGGCTGCTTCCGCCACTGGCTATCCCATGTAACGGGCGGTCCTCGCGGGGAGGACGCGGCGCCGCGGTTTCAGTCGACGAGGAGACGCCGTGTCGCGAAGATCAACAGGTGCGAACGCCCGCCGTCCGAGCAGCATGGGTAAGTCGAGCGAGTTGTGACCGTCGCTGACTCACCTGGCCCGTTTTTGACAGTTACGTGATCCCCATTGCACAGCGAGGCGGACAATATCGGATAACAGGATCGCGCTCCGTGCGCGACCGCGACCTCGACACGCCGGAGTGTCCTACCTCTCCGCCCGCGGCCGTCGCGGACAATGATCCTGAATTTAGCGTGGCGGACGCTAAGTATGTCCCTGCCTGAATCTCAAAACGTGATACACTCGTACAAGGAGGACGGGACTTGGAGTTGGAAAGACGTACTGAACGTCCTTAGTCTGGAATAATAGAGTCCTTTTCTGGGTCCTTTTTTGGACGCGTATCGAATGCTAAACACGCCTTTCTGATTCCCAAGTTGAAACAACGTTCTATGTGACGCTTATGCGAGAAAAACGGAATTTGGAATTGATAAGATACACTTGGCGGTCGCTGTGTCCTTGGACCCTTATCCTGTACGCTCGGCTTGGAACGTGGCCGACTCGAAATTCCGTTTTCTTCGTAGAAACGATATATGTATTATTCTAGCCTGAGAATCAGAAGGGTTTACTTAGCGTTTGCTGTATCTATAGGACACGGGCCTTGAGATCTTGTGAGTCCTGTGTAGTCCTTGAAGTACGAGTCCTGGGTCCTCTTTGTACTCGCGCGTCTCGTCACGACCAAGCGATCACGATGATTTATTTTCCGGGGACGTCTCGTAGACGTGAAAAATGTCGGGGCAAATTTCCTGGCGCCTCGGATGGGTATTTCTTCTTTCTCTTTTTTTTTTTTTTTCGTCTGTGTGAATCCCATGACCTCTGGTCTTTGCCGGGATTGCATATGAGGCGCATCTCGGACTCGAACGACCGTAGCGAATAAATAATCAGCGGACGCTGCGGGAAATGCCACGGATAAATATCCCGCGGTGAAAATGTCACGTTCTAAACGCATCCAGAGAGTGCAGCCGAGCGAGTTACGCAAGCGAGTGTGAGTTTGAACTATTAGCGGCGGTGATATTTCTTCCCTCGTCCGCGTCGGAGATTTATCGAGATGGCCGGTGATCTTTTCAGCGGCAGGAAGGGAAAATCCGCGCGCGCGTCGGACGAGCGTGTCTCGCAGGAGGCAAGTTCGCGCCAATGCATCGGCAGTCTAACCGCCGGACCAGGCGCGTGTTATATGCATGACATTGCGTAAATGACGGGGAAAGTCTCCCCGAGTGGGCCGAGAGAGCGCGGATATAAAATAAAGAGAAAGAAAGAAGCCGACGCTACGAATTAATTTCGGGTCAGCGTGGAACGGGAGAAACTCTCGTAACGCTTCGCAGCCGAGTGGTCGTTGGCCGTGAAAAAAATATATGTATGACACGCTCGACGGTGAACACTGACCTAGAAAAGCGCGGAAACTGTGTGTGTATGTTAATCGACTCGCGGGAGTGAAGATGGAGAAAAAAAAAGGAAGGGAAAGAGAGGCGTGTGTGTACATACTTTTATCGACGAACGTAATCGCAATTACCGCTGCGCGGCGTAATTATCTAAAATTCACATCTCGGTGTCGCTCGATTAACGGGTGTCTGAAGGTTTGTTTTTCTCTTCTTTTTCCCCCTTCTACTCTCGTGCGATTGTAAATACGGAGAGTCGGTGGATGCATAAATTATGAGAACTCGCGAATCGAACGCTGAAACGGCCAGACTATTCGATCGCTCGATTCTCGCGAGCAACACGATAGAAATATGCCGGAAAGTCAGTTCACGACAATTTTTTCTCTATATATTTATTTTGACAGATTATAATAATATTAATTCAAACGCGAGAACTCTCGTCACGCTCTTTGAATTTTTTCGAATGAAGATCCGCTTGGGAGGCGGAATTTGAGTGAAAAGTTAGTATAGAGCGAATTCTCGAGTTCGAGTCGAGTGGATATTTGCTTTCCAAAGCGGAGAGTGAATCTGTGATGTAATTCACCGTCGAACAGAAACGAATTCACTCTGAGCTTGAGATTTAATTTACTAATTAACATTCACTGCTGTGATTCCGCGAGTGGTGGTATTTTTATTATCTCCTGCGGGTGAGAAATTCAGAGAGAGAGAGAGAGAGAGAGAGAGAGAGAGAGAGAGAGAGAGAGAGAGAGAGAGAGAGAGAGAGAGAGAGCACGAAAGCGAAAGAAGGAGAAGACGGCGAGCGAGGATGAAAATTCGCGTAGGAGTTGTTACTCGCAGCCACGTTCTTGTCTCCGGCGTATTGTCTCGTAACGACAGAATTGCGAGACTCATTTACGCAAGACCGATCGCCGTCGGCGCGTTATTCCGGATCCTTTCTCTATTTTTTTCTCTCTTCCTATTTTGCTCCTAGCGCACCATTGCGTGGTTGCGCATGATTTTTTCGCGCTGACTCACGCTTTTCGCACTGTTTGTCTGTTTTTTGCAGGGAACATTTACGTCTGCAACCTGCTCGTCGTACTCGCCGTAAGTGCTCGCCGGACTTTCATTCCATTGCTCTCCCGAATGCATTTTTTATCCTGAACTTCCCGCTACTGGAAGCCGATCGTTTTCTCCGTGTGCGATTTTCCGAGCAGAAAGCCGCAACGCCGACGGTTGAGCGATATCGCAAAACATGATTTTCGATCTGATGAAACAAGAAGCGCTCGCGCACTGTAAACAATTGGTTATTTATATATAATTTATATATAATTGCATAATTAAACTACAACTGCGTATCCCAGATATAATTATAATTACATTGAATGCAGTTATAATCATATATATATATATATTAGATATAATTGTAATTTATTGCGCACAATGTGCATGTCGCGGAGATTAGCAAACGATCGGATTTCTCTCTCTCTCTCTCTCTCTCTCTCTCTCTCTTTCTCTCTTTCGGCGGGTTTCTTTTCTTCAGCCACGATTTTATTCACCTGCATTAGACACTTCTGGTCGTGGCGCAATGCGGCGACATAATGCGCAAGAGCATCGTCTTCGACAAGAACACCCCGGACGTGTTTTATTGTCCGCAACACAAGCCGATCGGTTTCGAGAAGATGCTAGTCAAGGCAAGGCCGTTGTCCAGGCTGTGCCAGTTCGAGGGTCGCCCGATACCTGAGGATTACAAGAGCGACTGCTACAACGACGTGGACGAGACCGAGTACGCGTGCAAGGAAAAGTACAGAATCATGGTGAGTGTGTTTCCGCTGCGAGTCCGACCTTTGCTCGCTCGGTCGGAATGAATCGCACATGAAAATATCTTCCGCGAGAAATTAGCGACGTATACGATCAAGGGAGAGTAAATTCGCGCGCGAACAATGTTCTCCGGGGAAGAAGAGGAAGCATTGCCGCTTCGCTTAGATTAACTAGTTTCTCGATCGAAGCAGGCGCTGCCGCTAATATCGCCAAGGCGAAACGCTATGAAACGCTTGCAAAACGCGAGAATTAACGCCGTTCTAGCTTAACCCTTTAACGCCTACTGGTAACTATAGTTACCAGAAACGCATTTAAGAATCCATAACTTTTAGTCAAAAAAGGAGATATTTTCGTTTTCTTTGCATCACTGTAAAGGTGAATTCTTCTTCTAAAAAATGATATATTTGTTGTATGTAGATTCGGTTTAGTCTGTTTTTAGCTCAGTTTTAACGATAACATGTTTTGTCAAATTCCAAGTAGGCATAGTTAGCATTGTTACTGACATCTAGAAGTATACTATAAATGAATAGATTGGTATCTGTTATAATTTTAAACATTTGGAAGCTTTCTCAGATGCAAAAAAATTGAAATTAAAAGAATACAGAAATTCAGAATAGCGAATCCAATATGGTGGACACGTAAATCAAGAAATCAATCCATTTTCGTGAAACCTGGTGATCTACAGTTTTTTATGCGGTGAAAAATGAAGGGACGATTGACTATCTAAATGGTGATCTATAAGATATTCTTCTGAAATAGCAAGCTTGACGCTCTGAATGATAAACTTCACTCACAAATATAGTAAGGTTTCAGCTCAAAAATATCAAGCTGACTATCAGAGTTATATCGTATAGATTACCCTTCATTTTTCTCTGTATAGGTTGCTCATTTCGTACATGCTTTCAGGATCCAAGTCATATTTACCAATAAACAAAAAACGAACGACAGAAAAAAACAATATAAAATTCTGATATTTTTTTTGGTTATCACTATTTATAGTCTCAGTTCAAAAAACTCAAATTTTATTCTTAAAACACTTATAAAAAAAGTCGGGCGTTAAAGGGTTAAACTTGAAAGAGAAAAGAAAAAAGTATGAGAGACAAGATTGCGCCCGACTCACGCTACTACCATCATCATAACAGTTGGAGAGCGCTGCGTGTAACGCATTGGTGTCGGTCTTCTTTCTCGTTGCAGAAGCGATTCAGTAATCCGGACGGGGATGTGAAAGCCGTCGACAACGACTACGTCGAGAAGTAAAACGGGCTGCACGGGAGGAGGCTGCACGGTCGATCCACCCGCACACGCAATACCATAAAATCCAAATAGAATCAAAGCCACACCATATATACTAATGCTCGGAGCTGCATCGTCCCAGGAGCTCGATACTCACAAAATATAATACCTAGTACTCGGCGGCGACCAGTAGATAACTCGTAGTTATCGCCTCAAGTCAATGCATTATCCATTTCTTCATGCATCACCGCGGTAGACGCGGTAGACGCTGCTGCTACCCGTTGGACGCTGGATTCTCGCCATTCCCGCCTAGGAACTCCGTCGATTCACCGTCAATCAAACACTCTTCAATGCCTTCGCGTTGGAACACTCACAGAGTGTATCCGTCACCGTCACGTTTCAATCATTTCTACAAGGGAAAAAATTGACGGGGGATCGACGGATCCTGTCTACCTTCGCGTAGACGGATAGTGAAAATCCGATCTAGATCGTACACGCTTAACGGAGCATGTCGTACCGCTCGGCGGAACCAGGCCGGACAGCGCGCAGAGTCTCCCGAGATCACTCTGATGTCCAGGACGTCCTGAGAAGTGAGCCTCAGGATGTCCCGAGAACATCCAGGAGAACCCCAGGGCGTCTCGCGCTGTCGCAGCAGCTGCTTCGTTAAACTTTCGGAATGAAGAAACGGATAACGGAGAGGAAATTAATTGACAAACACGCGCGTACGAACAGGACACTCGTGGAAGGATCAGACACGTGTACTCCGTGAACGGGAGTCTCTTGAATTCGTTGCGGGGCGCACGCATAGGCGACCCGAGGCGAGAAACGACAATAGTGTTCCGTGTTCAAGCTTTGTCAAGGGGGACTTATTTTGATAACGTTATTAATAAAACTAACCGCAACGGAGCTGGGTAATCGATTAATTAACCCTTTTGACGGAGCTTCGGTGAGTTTTGCTGCTTTCATGGATATACACGTGGATCCAGCTAATGCATAGCTACGCCAGTCGCACCGTTAGCGATCCATCCAATTGATCATATTAGCATTCCCTAACGGTTACGGACGATTAGTTACGCGCATTAAGACGAACTTATCGATTAGTAGTATCTGATATTGACAAGCTGATTATCTCCGAGAGTAATCAGACATAGCGGGAGACATATAGTGGCCGGGAACTTCCGTCCGAATTATTTTCGATAGCACGAATTTCGATGATGCGAGATATCGACAGAGATTTCCTTGTCCATCGTCGTGTATGAAAGTTTCTTCTATGTTCGAACGTGTGTGCGTATATAAACACATACACACACACACACACACACACACACACACATAATATATATATCTATATATATACACACGTAACAAATAAACCTTTGCAGAATAAATAGATATTGCTCGTGTGTGATTTTTCACCATCAGTTCTCGTCAAGATAATATCGAGAGAAATACACCTTGCGCGGGCAGCGGACACGTGGCGGTATGTACCGCAGTCAGTACTTCAGTAGCATCAAGTACACCAGAGACGAGCGATCAATCCCGTGAGAGCGCCCCGGGCGCGGGAGGGAGGCGCTAATTACGCGCCGATCAATTATCTCCCTAATGTCCGCGGCGCGCACCATCACCGTCTGACGTCGGCCTTTGTTTTAGATGAGACTTCATCCGCCGGGAAGCGACACGCCTTATAACGGGACACGCCTGTACAAGTTCTTGGCCTTCGACAAAGATTTACCGTACGCGCGGAAGAATCAGGTGTAAGGAGAGCGGCTGCATCCAAGGACACTACGGGGACGCCTGTCGCGCCTGTCGCGATGCAGTCGCGCGAGTTGAAACCGAGTCCGTGTTGAGTCTCAACACGTTCGGAAACGAGCGTCGCTCGGACAGTTCCTGTAAACCAATTAACACTTCGCCGATGAGACGCGTTCGCCTTCTTTTCACACGGACAAGGAAGTATTACGCGTTGGCGGAAATACTTTCTAGCGCGGGAAATATCCTTCGCTAGAAATTACACTTTCCGACCGAAGAGACTTTTTCGGACTTCTTTTGGGTGTCTTGTTGAATATATTAGATGTATCAGATGCTCTCAAGACGTCTCTTGGGACTTTCTGATGCTTGAGGAGGGGGGAGGGTTAATAGGTACTTTAGACTAATTGTTTGCATTTTTTTACTGTGTGAAAAATGTAATTTGTTGATACGTACGTCCGTTCGGATTGACTGTTTGGAAAATTTCTTTGAATCTGCCGCCAAAGTCCTCATCAACGAAGTGTTAATGAAAGAAAGAGAGAGTGAGTCAGTCTTTACGCGATCGATCGTGCGGGCCGGTCCCACAATGATCGCTCTTATTTATTTTCGACGCTTATTGTCGCGACGCTTGCCTGAAACCATCTAACGTTCCTAACGTTCGGTTTAACGCAGGTGAATAAACGAACGTGATTCTCGTCCTGTAGTGTCAGATTATCTCATGTCCGTGTAACGTGAAAACGTCGAGCGTTTTTCTTTTGATTGTTCGTATATAACTTGTACACTTATATAGATATATAAACGAAGAGAGAGAGTAATATATTTTAAAGGGAAATATATCAGGAGATATATATGCCCGTCGCACTTTTACACGCGTCTTGTGTTACCTGTAATCGATAAGTATCTTGGCGTTGACTAAATAGTGTGACTAAATAATGCGTGCTCGTGTAAATTAATATATTAATACATTTATTAGGATGATATTTTCAAGGATAGCTCGAAATGCCCAATATTTAGATGGGTTACAGTGTAATTCGTGTTGCGGCATTCAATCGGAGAAATATATGCTGAATACATTAGATGAGTTGAATAATTTGTCGGGACTTGAACGCAATGGACAGGGTGTGATAAAAATTAATAATCCTTAATATCATTTTTGTCACTTGACGTCAGATTTTGACGTCGTTCACGAGGACAGGCGATAATTCTTCAACTCGCTGCGTCTATCGTTACGGTGAATGACAGCCTTATGAGCTACATGTAAAAATGAGTGTTTTTATCGTGCATAGCTGGATTCTCTTCTAGGATTCTAATTAATATTTCGATCGTCCGAAAGATGCCGAACGCTCTATCTGATATTTTTCGCGAAATTTTAATAATTTATGTCTATAGATACGAGCTATAGCTGTATATATATTTAACGATTATATACCTATGTTGCTTTGTTCTCGCAAACGTCTGTCCTTTTACAAAATTAGTATCGGATCCGAATGCGTATGCTCAACACAATTCGTTCGATTTCTCCTATCATCGCTAACTAAACGGACCTACTATATATATTTTTACAAGTGTCATGAACGCGTGACATGCATTAATTATATAATTCTACAAATGCGACTTTGTCGACAACCAAGGTCTCATTTTGCACGTCTTCTATAATAATGAGATACATATTAATTATTATAACTCTTTAGTATTCTCAGCGCAATTCTTCAAACGATACAGAGATGTACGAAGAAATTAATACGTTTATTTGTGACTCATGAGAGCTTATTATTCACGCTTCATAATGTTGTACTATACTTAATCATATCACGTGAATTGTACATCGCGGGGACTTGTCATAAGAAATAATACGTCTTATGATTGTATACGGAGATAACGAACAATTTCGTCTACGCTGGTGTTGGAGTGTAGGCTCGCTTTTCATGAATACATTCCAACAAGGATCTTTCAGTCAATTTTCTCCGAGCACTTGCAACGTCAGTTCTTATAGTTCTTACAGTCAAACTAGGAACTAAGTTCAACTAAGATATGAAAAAATGAATGAACAAAGTTAGAATAAACGTTTCGATAGCCAGACATGCAACATAGCAAAGCTGAAATTAAACAACTTTTATGCACTCAATATTTTATAATTTAATGGAGAGACCATAAAGATTTGCTATTGATGCATGAAGGATACATGAATTGAAATTATTTGAGAAAACATCAGTTTTAGGACGTGGCGACAGATCGATATATCCGACCAATCTAAAATACTCGGTCTGATGATTGTTGAACTTTTTCAGCAGATGAAATGATTTGCCATCTATCTGTGAAGAATCTAATAATAATCATTATGATAATTTATTTATACATATATGTATATATACATACTTTATAAGTGAAATATCGTGGATAAAATCCGCAATTGTCTCATTAATTTGCGGTTCATTTGTAACAGTGTAATAATGTTAGATTATGCAATTTTATCATCATATGTAGTATACATAAACTGACTGATCACTGAGTGAAGGAGTTAATATCGCAACAGAAATAAGAACAGATTCATTCGATATTTCAAATGATGAACGGAGGAATCGCAAAGTCTTCGCGTACGTATGTATGTATGTATGTATGTATGTACGAATATACATACATACATACATATGCGAACATGTCCGGCAATCGGGGAACCTTTACCTTGTCGCATATCACATTCGCTTAGCAAAATCGCCAAAGTTCTTGACGAATTAGGGAGCAAGGCGGAGTCACGCACTCATACAGTCACACGCACACACGCATATACCGCTCATGTGGTTAAAGATCAGCCGACATCGTCGCCGCGTTTACTTTACAATATCAGTTTTCCGCCGTTCGACGCTCTGATCTGCGCCACCTGCTCGGGAGTGAGTATGAGCTTGCTTCCGTTGGGCAATGCTAACGCGTAATGGCTCCCGGTCTCGTTCACGACCACCACCAGCTGCGTATTCGACGCCGTCTGCGGAGCAGCGCTCTTTACCGGAGTGATGGATATGCCGCCTTGATTCATCCGCTCGATGATCTGTGGCGGTATGACGCCCTTCGTCGAAGGGATCAAGGCGTCGGAGGTGACGATAGGTATCTGCTTCGTCGAATTCGCACTTCTCGGAGGCGTCACCTTGGGCCTGTCCGTTGGCGCCGAGGTCGACGCGCCTTTCTCGTTGTTACCGGCGCTCTTCTCCGTGATGATCATCTCTATCTCGTCGTCGCTGTCGCTCAGCACAATCAACGACGTGGTCTTCTGCTGACCGCTGCTGTCCGTGGTGGATATCTGAGGCGTCGATCTGCGTCTGGGCGTCACATTGGAGTTGGACGCACGTGGCTGTTGGCTCTTGCTTCTCACGGATTTTGGCTTAGCGGCTGGTTTAGGACAGTTGTCCCGGGAAGGCGCGTTGCCTCTCGTTATCGTAACGTTAGGCTGCACTGGATTCCGTCGAGGTGCGATGTACCTGTTCTGCTGACCGGCTGGTCGGCTCTGCGGCCTCGTTGCTGGTTGAGCCGGATTCTGCGGTCTCGGCTGCGGCTGGCTTGTCAACGCTGGGTTATTAGCGACGACGTTGAACTGGGGCTGCGTCGTGTAAGCATAAGAAACGTTATTGACGAAAGGTTGGGCCAATATTGCCTGTTGCTGATAGATCACGGTCGGTTGCTGTGGTTGTTGTTGAGGCTGCTGTGCGGGTGACAAGAAGCTCGCCTGCGGATTTTGTATTATGTAATTTGGCGCGCTCTGTATGTAATAATCTTGCCGGACCACTGGCATATTCGGTATGCTGATGGTTTGAGGTATCGCGTAATAGTCGATGGGTCTTGAGTCATTCTTCAGCACGTAGTTCTGTTGCGGATTCAAGTTGTAGTTTTTGACATATTGACCCGCATTGGACTCGTAGATCGGACCCTCGTCCTTGATGTCTAACTCTGAGTGCACACTGCTGCCAGTCTCGAACTTGCAGACTGCATCTTGGAGAGGTATCGCTTGCTTGGGATTTGCGGCTTTCACTCGATGACTAGCTGCAGACCGCTCGCGACCGTTAGAGAGCTTTGTATCGTTTGGAGTTTCCGATCTCGGCTCTTTGCTATTATCCTTGGATTTATCCTTGCCGGTTTTCGCGCCACTTGGATTAGGCATACTAAACGCTACAGTGCTCTGGGATGCGTTCTCTCGAATGTTTTGCAACTTGTTCTGAAACGATTTTATCCTTCGATTGGTAGCTGGAACAGTACGAGTGTGCAAGTTAGAACAGGGGAGGTAAATTTACATATGTGACATTTAATTAAAATTTAATTTGATTATATATAAGATATTTATTATATAGAATTATTTGCCGCGTTCGGCAGCAGAAAAAACTGCTTCCTAAGCACTTCATGATTATCGCTCCTGATTGGTTCGTTCTCCCGGATCTATCAAGGATTCAAAAGAATACGCCACTTACGCGGACGTTTATTTTTCCTTTTGCGAGTGCCCGGTAGAATCCAATCTTGATCTGAGTCCTCCGTCTCCGACCAGTCGTCAGCGTATCGGACTTTCGGAGCAATGTGAGAAGCGGATGTATCGGCCGGTGCGCCGGGAGCCGCGTAGACTGCCTCAACGTCGGTCCATTCTTCCAGCTCGTTCTGGTCGCTCTCATAGTCTGAGTAAAATTGCTCTGTGTACGAGGAGATGCCACGCGCTCGTAGTACTCGTCGCGTTTCTTGTTCCGCATCTGCTGTGAGGATAAACAGATGATGCATTTTTCTGTACATCGTTCTATATTCTAAGAGCAGCTTCCAAGAACTCCCCTTTTCTCTCTCCTTAAATACAATCTTCTCTCACAAGTAAATAATGTAAATAAAAACGTTCTTGAGAAGTCTGAGACTTTTCTTCTAACACTTCACACGCGCATACAAACACCGTTTTCCAAGTTCAAATTAAGACACTGTCATGCCGCTAAGGTGATGTCTTATGTTATAGAAGTTGTCCTTTTTCAGATCAGAAGATTTAACCAATTTACCTCGGGACGGACGAGTTTGTATGAAATGTTTGTGCGTGTAAATGTGTTGAAAAGAGGAAAAGAATGTAGAAAGTAAAATAAGACGATTTAAATCTCCACAAGAATTTCCCTTTTTTTATCGTTTAATATCGTTTAGGTTGAATAACATTTATACATACCGGTTATGACCGACAAAATTTGTTATTCACAAATAGGTGTATATGTATGTGTGTCTCTTAATCTTATCGTTGCTAATGTTGTCGAGGTATGACCACTGATCTTAACGATCTCACTGACTTAAACTTTAAAAGCTTAAGCTTTTTAAAGCTACAAAGAGCCAACGACAGAAATGAACAGAGTGAACGCAGAATGAACAGAGCGTGAACTGAATGAGTGCAGAATAAGCGCCATTTTGAGTCGCTGTCTGCTTTTATAGTTATATGGTGAGAAACCATCGCGCGAGTTGACATCACTTGTGTTAGTAAGGGGAAAGATGCTCCTCTGTGACCCATATCGTTTGTTTGAATGCGACTCAAATTTCATCTGCCTATAACCAGACGAGAAGAAAGATGGTTCTTAGTAACCGATGTTCGATCGGTTGTTCGGATCTGATCCAAATTCTATTGCTTATCAAGTGGTGCTTGAGAAGTAGCCCTTATAAACAGGCAGTAAGAAATATAGTTCTCGGTAACCGATATCGGTTGTTCAGATCTGATTTAAATTCTATTTGCTTATCAAGTGTGAGATGTCGTTTATAAGCAGGCGATGAAAGATCACTGCGCGAGTGTAAGAGATCTCTTTATAAGCAGGCGATCTACTGGTAGTCTTTCATCGGCTGCTTATAAAGGATATTTCTCACACTTGATAAGCAATAGAAATTTGGTTAAAATTTAGAGTTAGTCAATAATGGCTAAAAGCGTAAAAGTATGAATAGATTATTCTATATGTTTCCATATATGTGTTATTAATTGGAAAAGTTACGTGGATGTAACAACACGCTTTTCAATGACGGAGGACAGGAGGCATCGGGGGGAACGAAGAGACAAGAGCAACGACACAACAACAATTACCTTCGCCGTTTGACGTGACGTCGGTTTCTTCTTTGTGTTTACGTTCCCGTTTGCGTTTTCGCTCCTGTTCCTTCTTCTCGACTTGCTCTCCTCCTTCGGCCTTGACTCCCGCTTTCTCGTCGCCGCTTCGCCGTTCGCCGTCGCTCTCCCGGCTCTCGCAGCAATCCCGCTCGGCGCTCTTGTCCTCATTCTTGTGTTCGCCGCTTTCGGGGCACGGCTGTTGGCTTTGGGAGCCAAATGAGGATAGGGCAAGCTGCGGTAACGTTTGTAACGTTGCGTCTCCGGGAGCTGACAGTGGACAGCCCTGCGATCCAAGAACCCACCAATTAGAGCTGAGACCACCCTCTGCGGATGAATCCTGATCCTCCACACTGCTACAACACACACCAACTTGTCTGCCATACATGTTTGACTCAGGAATTATTTAGTTACTGTCATAGTGTGGGCTTGCGACCACATTGTAAGTCACACATGGATTGTAGCATTTCAAGAGGCGTCAGGTAGTGTGAATTCTCTGCATGCAAATGAAGATGCGCGAGATACGCATTGCCCGTTTCACAATGCACGAATTACACAGGCCGACAAAATTTTACGAAACTCCAGACCCTGAGACCAGACTATACTTTCCCGAAGGTTTTTGGTCCGCTGAATCCGAATCCGGCAGCGGAATTGCTCCATCACATCAGGTTTTCGAGATATCCTAATCTGAAAGTGCAAAAAACACAGTTTTTCGCTATATTCGGGGTTAGATTACAACGTGAATTAATTTTTTTCTACAAAACTCGTTACAGTATCTGAAAGTACTACTCTTCGCCTTCAAAATGCATTTTGAATTTTTCATATATCTTATTTCTTCTCGGAGATATCGTCCGTTGAAATTTTTTAGTTTGGCGTTTTCGTTACTACCTTACAAAAAAAAAAGAAGTTAATCCGGCAGGTGAAAGTTGTGTAATTATGTTTTTTGGGACGCTGAATCCGAATTCGTTGTCGGTTCAACCCCATGACCATCAGATCATGGTTTGTCCTTAACCTCAAAAAAGATTTTCGAATTCGCTTTTTTTTTTTTTGAGGTTAGGGACAAACCATGACCTGATGGTCATGGGGTTGAACCGACAACGAATTCGGATTCAGCGTCCCAAAAAGCATATAATTACACAACTTTCACCTGCCGGATTAACTTCTTTTTTTTTTGTAAGGTAGTAACGAAAACGCCAAACTAAAAAATTTCAACGAACGATATCTCCGAGAAGAAATAAGATATATGAAAAATTCAAAATGTATTTTGAAGGCGAAGAGTAGTACTTTCAGATACTGTAACGAGTTTTGTAGAGAAAAATTAATTTACGTTGTAATATAACCCCGAATATAGCGAAAAACTGTGTTTTTTGCACTTTCAGATTAGAATATCTCGAAAACCTGATGTGATGGAGCAATTCCGCTACCGGATTCGGATTCGGTGGGCCGAAAACCTTCGGGAAAGTATAGTCTTGTCTCAGGGTTTTAAAAATGTCGGCCTGTGTTATCGTTTAATTTTGCAGAGTAATAATGCGTCAATAATGCCAGATGATAACCGTGAGATGGTATTACTTTTTTTTTATTTTTCTGCCATACTTTTCTGCATTTTCATTTTAATGCCAAACAGATCGAATACCCGCTAATATATTCGACTATTTTGCATATTATATGAAAGGTACGAAATAGTGTCGCATTAATATACGTACCCTTCCTTCAAGTTGGACCATTCCCTTTGCAACTTTGACTTTGCCTTTCGCGTGGCATCCTTCAAAGTGGTTTCTACATCCTCCAAGGAATTTAGCAATTCGGTCAGCCTCTTTACTAACTTGGTTTCACACAAAGGAACAATATCGGCCTGCAAATACGAGAGGTTTCTCTGTAGCGGGTGAATCGTACAACCGAGAACATGTCAAGACAGAATAAAAAGAGAGAAATCAACATATTGATATCACAATATCGGACTTACGATATCGACATCGGTGCCTTTCGATTCACCTTCTGTGAAACTAGAAATGAGATCTCTCAATGCTTCCACGCTGTCGACTACCAAGTGAAAATCGGAAACGCTAAGGTCCGAGAGCAGATTGTTGAAGTGCTTCTTGCACTCGTCCGTTTTCAAGCGGCTGGATCTCCGCAGATTGTAACCGTGGTCGGAATTCGTGTAATCGTCTGAATCATCGTCCACGGTTTCTTCCAAGTGTGCCTCGCTCGCGGAAGAATTCACAACAGCTTCGTCTCCCGACTCCACTCGCTTCTTCGTCTCCTTCTTTGCCTTTTTGACTGCATCTTTCGCGTTATCCTGCGTCGCCCGGTGTCGAGATCGTAGCTGTCTCTTGCACGGGCTTCTCTCTTGGATCGAATCGTTCGATTCTGCCTTGCGCGACGGAGAAATGTTCCCGTCACTTTTCCGCCTAGACACTCTGTTACTTAACGACGTTTTATTGCTGAAAGATGCGCGGTGCGCCCCGTTAAAAGTTCTATTTCTATTTACACCGTTCTCTTTACAATTATCGCTAATATTATCACCGCCGGACTTGGTCTCGCTCAACTTCTCGTCGTCCGACTTGGACGACGTTGATATATTATCACCTACGTTATCACTGACTGATACACGTGCGGAACATACACCGGCAGGTAACTTGGAACTCTCGGCACTTATGATTATTTCGTTCAGTTTCTCATCGTCTGTCTTTGAAACACCAGTCAAATGGTCGACCGATCGTTCACTTTCTTTTTTCTCAACAGTCAATGTCTTTTCGACACACGAATCTGCTATTTTATTGCAAAAACCTTCAAAGTCTCGACCTCCCTTTGATCTCTCCAACTTGTTGCTCTCGCAGCCATTTTGCTCCTTATTTTCATCGATCTCCAACTTCAGATCGTCCAATATGCCGTTGATCATTCCGATCTTGCAATTATCGCTTTGAATGTTAGAGAAACCTTTGAAAACCTTCGCGTCGTCGTCGTCGAGAGATCTGTTGTCGCTAGAGGTGTTGGTGTCGTAACCGCTGGATCTCGCGTTCGACAGCACGCTCTCCTCGGACATCTTCGACAGACTCCTGCAACGCTTCCTATTGACAGCGTCCAAGCTGATGTTGTTATTATTGCTGCATGTGCTTGTACTACTTAGGTTCGTGTCCTCACTGATAAACGAGCTTGTCGCGCTGTCGTTGTTGCATTTGTAGCCGAGGTCTTTATCTTCGATTCTACTCTCGCACCTGTTTGGTCGCTCCGATAGATTCTTGTTGTTGTTGTTGTTGTTATTATTATTATTGCTAGATTGCGCTCTCCTTATCCTGTATCTGTTCAACTTTGCGCGGAGTGAATTGGCCGTGTTCGAGTTTGCCTCTTGCTTTGGTCTGACAGGCTGCAAGAAATACATTTCAATCATTTATGAAGTGTCTCTGCGTTTGTATACGTTGCCGCTCCTCAGAGGTTTCAAGCACATTACCTTGACGGTCGAAAAGATTTTATTGTCCAGGCAAAGCCTGTAAATCCTAAGATCGCTCGCAATGAATTGCGGAAAATAGATATATCTCGCTCCGTAACGGTCGATTCCCAGAGTCGTTTCGAATTGGTCCTCCCACGGTTGCTTCGCCATGTCCTCCTGAACAGTTTTCCTCGTATGCTATAAAAATTACGTACGATCAATGTACATACAATGCTGATTTCTCTCTCGTTTTCAGAATTATCGCGGGGACCCACCATGATTGTATCACAGACTGTTTTCAGTAACCAGGCTCTTTGCTTGAAACTTAAGTTCTCGAAATCCTTGCCGTCGAGCAACGAAGCGTCGGGAAATATATTCCAAAACTCCGGCTCGACGCCGATGGTCTCTAGAACCTAAAAATTTTTGTTTACGTTCCCACTCACTGTTTTGTGTGTGTATGTGTGCGTGTGTCTGAGACATTCGTCTGAGGCATCAAAGAGTGGTACGTGTGAATCTACAACGCAAACGTTCATAACGTGAACTCGCGCGAATACGTACTTTGATGGCATCTTTGTGCTTGGAGTAATAAACTTTGAACCAACTCCCCATCTTGTGCGCCAGGATGTTGATCCAAAATTCATACGGCATCGGTGGTACCTTGCGTAGTTTTGCTTTGATAATCGGAGAGCTGAAATCGCAGAAAAGTTCACCTTTTATAACATCCAACAACCTCCGCGCTGGCTCTTACTGGCCTTTTGCTTCATTTACTGTATATCTGAGAGAGCTGTGAGAATTCCGCTTTTGTTTCCCGACTTCATCACTTGACTTTGTCGCTTTCATAATCTTTGCCCCGCGTTCACGGCTATCGAATACAGCAATGAAGCAAATATAACTTGATAATTAGACGGATATAGAGTATCTCCGGTATATGTTGACAACCTTAGCAGACACGTCATGATATTTGCCAACTGCTTCGACGCTCTTGGTATCGAAAGCATCCTCTCCATCTCATACATAGACAATTGAGGTATATTGAGGGATTCCCTCGTCAGGTGGAGAAAGTGAAAAATTTGCGGTATCTGAAGAGACAGAAGCTCGTGAGAAGCAATTCGTACAATTGAAGTGAGTTCGCTACAGAGAGGGCTAGATCCATCGATTACCTCCCACATTGTCTCCATCTCGTCCCGTATCTCGTCGGAAAAGAAATTATCTTGCTCTCCATCGAGTACGGCTTGTTCTTCGCCGTTTGACTTTCGCTTCCTGCTCTTCCGCGACATTTTGCCTGCAACGAAAGGAGAGATTAAGATACAGATGAGATGCAAAATCGGATTTATGCAAAAAAGTGATCAACCAAGTGTTCAGCTCGTTTCGTCCTCTTATCGCGTGTCTGTCTTCATAACAGCGGCGAGTGTCTTCATCTCTCGCACGTGAGTTAATATCACTTGCATTATCGAGACCGACTGTCCCAGACTCGTATCGCGCGATTTTCGACACTAACCGCGGCGGAGACATAATTTTTAATTAACGTCTCGTCCGGACACGAGATTACAAAATTCACGTGAATTACGAAAATATCACAAGTTCACGGTTTATCAGTAAACATCAGAATGCTCCAATGGCGATTCTACGCCATTAATTAGATGGAATCAGCGTATATTTAAAAAGCGGGTCTCCCTGCTGTCACTTGTGCATAATATCGTTATCGCGGCTTATGACATTGCGGGCGCAGAGCAAACGATGGTGACCTAGTGCCGCTATGCTGTACAAAGAGTATTATCTTGAAAAGGCGCGACCTTGCCGTGCCTGCCAAGGTTGCGCCACTTTAATTACGCCTGTCCGCCCGATAATTACTAATAATTCCGCCCTTCACCGCGACATGACGCGAGGGGTTCGCAGCCGAAGCCGAACGATTGTGTGCCGATGTAGAATTTCTCTTTCCGCAAAAAGCGATACTCTCCGCTCGTCGAGCGATCGTTAACCCCGCTGATAAGAAGCATCCTCTAACGTCGTCCAATCAGGCTTTAATCAGTCAAAATGCGACGATGAATTGCCGTTGGTTCCAAGGGCCGTCGCGCAAATTGCTTTTGTGCAAACTCTTCTGTACAAACGTATCATCGCCGTCTCGCCACCTTTCAAGCGGACTCGACTCGGCGGGGGGAGACATTTTATTCAAGATACGGTCACAGCCGGCTGGACGAGTAAGCAAGCAGCCGGCTGCGTGGCGTGCGGTGCCGTTGAACATCGATAAGGAAAACACGAATGTTTATCTTGTAATTACGCTGAGACGTTTCATTATGGAGGCGGTCACGAAACACGTCCACGTGGAGGAACGAGGGGGATGATCATCAGGCGATCATCATCATCGTTGTAATTCGTGCAAAATGCGCCTTCGAAGTGTTTCCGAACGGCGGGTCCCAAATTCCTTCTTCCTACTTTCTTCCTGGTCGAATCTCAAATTACCGTATACTCTCTAAATCGTGCGGCGCGCGACTTCGAACTCGGTACAACGGTAGATTGACGACGGCCGAGTTACTCGAACTCAAATGGCCGTTCGCTCCGAATCGAGCCGAGGGAACATTTCTGCTTGAAATTGCGGAGGGAACCTATGATGCCTTCGCCACAGGAGCGCCGCAGAAAGCAATTCATCGTAAAATCGATGGAAATATCCACTTGTAGAGCGGAACGAAGCACTCGCTCTCGCGACTCCCAGCGGCGATTCCTCGTGAATCCCTTCGAACGAATCGCTCGCTCGTCGCCACGAGTGAGATCCCGCCGCGAGTAAACGCGCGTATAGATTACACCTCGTAACTTTCTTCCTGCCTCGTATATTCCGCGTTAACGACTGCAGTCTCATTAGCGGCCGTCGGACGGCAAAGTGGGCGTACGAAGTGCCCACAGACGGAACAGAAGATCATGATAACATCAAAACGACGAGAAAATGATCGAATCATGATGGAAAAATGAGTTTTCCTCATCATTTTGACGTCATCATGATTTTCTGCCTGGGTGTCGTGTCGCGAGGCGGCGAGTCGTAATTCAAATTAACTCGCTCGCTTTACTGCGCTCTCAGGAGCCCGAGCGTGATTGCGAGGACACGCCGGTCTCGACATGCGCAACCACTTCGAGTTACGTGGGACAAATTCACGGATACTCGATATATCGGATATAGATCGAATCCTTCGCGTGGGACGAAGGAACGGAGACGAGACGAGAAATAACGGGAAGCTTTTGAAATGCCGTTTCTCGGATACGGCATAACGTTGAGCGTGAATGCTATTAGTCGCGCACATTGCGACGTTATTTCTCGGCGAGTAACGTTCGCGATTTACGTTTACCGTATCTGAGAGACGGTATTGCAACAACTCCCTATTAACTCTGAAACGAGACCGAAGGGCACACGTAAAGTACGCTCGTCGACTGGACGCTTTTGTTAACTAACGTCATCTTTACTTAAGGATAGCAATCTCGCGCTCGGTTAAAAGAGCGCGGCGCCGCCCGCCGGCGGCACCATCGCGATGGAAATGCATAACAGCCCTTAACAGCGCGACGCGGTGCATGCTTTTGCGATCGATCAGTGATACACGCGATCAACCGGCACGATCTAACGGGCGATAATAAATTTATCGTATGTTACTCACTTTCGCGGCTAACTTTGTGAGATCTAATGAATGCTCTCTCTCTCTCTCTCTCTCTCTCTCTCTCTCTCTCTCTCTCTCTCTCTTTTACGACACGCAACGGCGCAATTCGCGCTCTCTCGCACCGCTCTCCGCTTCGCTTCCTCTTGTCTCTCCCTTTTTCTATCTTTTTCTCTCTCTTTTCTCGAGCGAACCACCGATTATGGAGAAACAGGTGCTTTCGCGTGATCGGTTGCACGAGCGATTCGCACTCGATAAACCGCCTGTTCTCGATCAAATAACGCCAGCCGTGCTGGCGTAGCCGTGTAACGTTCGACGTCTCGTTTCTTCGGGAAAAGTGTCACTTCCCCCTCGCCTCCGTCCCGTGCCTCCTACTTCCTTCCACCGAGCGAAGTGGAAAGACAGATATTCGCGAAAGATAAGCTCGCGATCGTACGTACAGTCTCCCGTCATTTCGCGCCTAATGTAATTATGCCGGCACGTGACGTTTGTTGGTTTTTTTCCCACGTCAGCGGCCAGCCTTTTTGAGCGGGACGTTAAATTTGAAGCGAGCAAACACGACCGCTCGCGGGCACATCTACGTCGCACATCCGTCGCCCGATACTTCCACGAATTAATATCGGAATTGAAGGCCGAAACTAGCAATAGTAATATTAGTAACAGGATGCAACTTCTTCCTGGGAAAACGCATCGACCTTGAGGGTCAGCTCGCGCGGAGGTATCAGTCGTTAAAATTCGAATCGATGCTCGGGCAAACACACCTTGAAAAAAGAAAACAACCCCCTGGCCCGCTCCGTTCCGGGAGCCCTTTTACGTTTGCGTCAGTGCGGCGTCGCGCGGTTGTGCATACGACGGCGCTTGTCAGTGTTGGAAAACATTGGAACAATAATGTCCATTTATCGGGGAGATATCATGGGTGCGCACACGCACGCATACGACGGCGTAAGGGCCGCGGCGTGTGAGGCGCCGTATCGCCAAAGTTAGAAGGGTGCCGCCGCCGCCGCGCTATCGTTGACACCTCAGTCAACTGTCAGCGGTCTTCGGGGTAGTTGGAGGGAAGGACTCGCGTTTTTCGGGGATCTCGGGAAGATCCGTGCAGCACTTCGATGGTCCCTTCGCGGCGATCCGTAGCGCTGTAAGAGTTGTCGTGAAGGGCAATCGGCTGGCGCGTTGAAAGAAGGAAATGCGAATGTGAGCGATTGATGGTCGCTTGAGACGATAATATAATCCGTTGGAAGTGTGAAGTAAAATAATAAAATAAAAATAGGACAAACCAAAGTTAGAGAGCGGCGTGTGAGGTGTCAAAGTTAGAAGGGTGCTGCGTTATCGTTGACACCTGACAGTCAACTGTCAGCGGTCTTCGGGGTAGTTGGAGGGAAGGACTCGCGTTTTCAGAGATCTCGGGAAGATCCGCGACATTCTCGCATTCTGATGTTTCCGCAGCGTTATAAGAGCACTCATGAGCGAAGGGCGATAAGAAGGAGTTTTCCAACGCGTTTTCCAATGAAGACCGGTCGGCTGGCGCGTTGAGAGAAGGAAACGCGAATGTGAGCGACTGATGCTCCCTGGAGACGATAATATATTACGTAAGGAGCGAAGTAAATAATAAAATAAGAATAGGACAAATCAAAGATAGAGGGTAAATGTAAAATTAAAGGGAGAGCAAGATTCACGATGAGCTGAAGGGGTGGAAGAACGTGATCGTGAGATGGAGGATTTATCTTCGAATCTGGCGAAGAGGAAGTCGACTTTTAACCCGTGGAACGATGCGCGAATTTTGTCGCAAGTCAGAACACACGATTTCGCACGTCTGAAGGATATCAATACGATGGACGCGATGCCGGCGCGAATCCGTAAACGCGACACTCTGGACGTCGCACACGAGGATTATTACAACACCGTCGACCGGGCGCCGTTTGCTTACGCGAAGATCAACAACACCGTCGACACGCTGCACTTGCAGGACCCCTACAGACCGCCTCAACGACTGGAGGGATACGCAGGGATTCCGCAGGATCATTCGAAGGTAAGATCATCAGCGGAGGTCGGACGCGTACGTGTATGTTATCGAGCAGAGTTGATTCGTCGGCTTTTCGCCGGCAGGATATGTATCGGTTGCAAGATTCCTCCCTGAGATGGAGATACAACAACTTCGTGGCGAAGGGGCCGGTCGCGCAGAGAAACAGCGACAAGGACGAGAATGAGAAAGTCGAACGGTGAGTGCGTACTTTTGGAAGCGAAATAAAAAAAAATAAGAGATCAAATAAGATAGAAATATAAAAGGAAAGCAAGACAAACAATTCCAAAGTGGGAGAGGACGGGAGAAAGGCGCGCTCTTTTCGCTTAAGGGGACTGGAGAGTCAGATTACTGAAAAATCATGCTTGTTTTTGATAATATTTTGTGACGAACTGAATAAATGTGCAAGAATGAAAATTTTAAGTATATTTATACAACACATGAAGAGTAGAAAAATTTTGTTTATTAACAAATACTCATATAAATATACGATATATATAGCTGAAATATACTCTCCTTTTTTTTTTCAAGTTGTTTTTTCGGTAATATCTCGGCTCTCGATGGTCCGATCAGAGCGAATTTTAGCTAGAAATCTTGAGGAGGCTTATCATTATCCGGTGAAACACTACAAAAAAAAATCGAACCAAATTAACAAAATGGTAGCTATTATTAGGAAAAAATCCAAATTTTTCAGTTCTTTTACAATAAAAAAATTAATATCTCGAAATGAAATATTTTGACGTAATTGTCCATGGTTCATCTGAGAGCCAGATGAACAAATATTATCGCTTTAAAATTTCAAATCGATACGAAGCTCAGTTTCGGAGGAATCATTGCAAAAAGCTGAACGATAAAATTTCGAGAAAAACGCGTTTAAAATTTAAGTGGACGTATATTTATATGAGTATTTGTTAATAAACAAACTTTTTCTACTCTTCATATGTTATATAAATATATCTAAAATTTTCATTCTTGCACATTTATTCAGTTCGTCACAAAATATTATCAAAAATAAGCACGATTTTTCAGTAATCTGACCCTCTACTTTCGTTAACTCGGCGCGCGATCGGTTCTCAGGTCGAAGAAGAAGAAGAAGTACCAAGCATGCTCCGAGTTGGCCGACATCGTCAAGCAGTACTGCGCGAACAGCAGCCTGCACGGCCTGCGTTACGTCGGCGATTCGGAGTTGTCAGTCATCGAGAGGTAAAAAAAGCTCTCATACACACACACAACATCATATCCTCCTCTCGATTTTCCGCCGAGTCGCGAATCAGAGCGCGGCGCGTTGTACCTGTTGTAGAATATTCTGGGTGATCTCATTCACCAGCGCGCTGGTCACCGCGATATACTACATCATCTACCTCTACCAGAAGTGGGACGGAGCGCCGATAATTATCTCCCTGAGCCCTTCGCCGGTCCCCCTCACTGAATTTCCGTTTCCCTCCGTGACGATATGCAATATGAACCACGCCAAGAAGACCGAGGCGAGACGGATCAAAGAGGGGTAGAGTGTTTACATTTACAATCGTCGAAGACGAGCGATTTTTCCTGTCGCGCCATTTCTTCCGCAGGTCTGACAAGATAAAGAAATTAATGCTGGAAGACATCTGCGATACGGAGAACAACGGTACTTTCGGAAAAGAGCACGATATGATCGATTGGGACACGATGCTGCAGTTCATGATTAACGTACGTTGCATTGTAAACGATATGCCTCGTTGATCGAAGTCGACGAATTGAGATCACCTTGTGTGTCTCTCTTAGCCCTCTCTCTCTCTCTCTCTCTCTCTCTCTCGTTCTGTTTCTCCTCCTCGTCTTTTCGTTGCAGGTGTCTCAACCATGTACGGACATGTTATATTATTGCATATGGCACGGGACGCGGTTCGACTGCAAAGACATCTTCAATCCTACTATGACGGACGATGGAATCTGCTGCAACTTCAACGGGGTGAACAGGCAGTATCTCTTCTACAACGCGTGAGTGAAGGTCAAGCCTTGTCGGCGCTTGTTGCGAGACTAAGAGGTCTAATTCGTCATGTTGAAGTGGACGACCGAGCACAATCGAAGCCGACAATGTTGTTTCACGCCGAAATTGTAATTTCAGACGTGACTGGCCCACATTGAACATAACGTACATGTCGCCCAGCGTCGACTGGAATCCTGAAAACGGCTACAACAACAGCAACATGATAGACGTCATTCCGTGGAGACCATACGGCGCCGGGAAATATTACGGCTTGACGTTGGCCCTCGACGTGGACGAGGAGGAGTATTTTTGCTCGGGCACTGCCAGCGTGGGCTTCAAGGTACGGCGTCTATCACCATGAAGATCCCTTCCCTCTAGCTCCGTTAGTCGGGTATTTTCTACAATTCGAGTAGTCGTACGTGTTAGTCGGGTGTTGAAGTTGAAAACTTCAAATAACTTCACCCTGAAGAGACCTTACTGCTCCAAATAAACGGGCCGAGGTGTGAAGAAGAACAGGTGCGACGAGACTTTGCATCTTACAGATGCTGCTCCACAATCCCGTGGAGACGCCGAAGATCGCCGACTTCTCGTTCTCGATCATGCCGGGCGAGGAGACCCGCGTGATCGTGAAGCCGCGGATATCGACCGCCAGCAAGACCCTCATCTCCATACCGAAGGCGAAGCGCAAGTGCTTCTTCACGGCCGAGAGGAAGCTGCGTTATTATCGGACCTACACGCAGAGGAACTGCGTCCTCGAGTGCGAGGCCAACTTCACGCAGAGCATGTGCTCCTGCGTCCAGTATTATATGCCAAGTAATTTTTGGTAGATATTTTCCTTGAGAAAGAGAGAGAGAGAGAGAGAGAGAGAGAGAGAGAGAGAGAAAGAGAGAGGAGAGAGAGAGAGAGAGAGAGAGAGAGAGAGAGAAAGAGAGAGAGAGAGAGAGAGAGAACGTTGACGCAATCTCCTTCCGTGCCAATTACATGGCGAATCCATGACAGTGCATTTAGGCGATTAGCCTGCAACAATTTTGCTCTTTAATAATCCGCATTATCATAAAAAAAGTATCGCAATCACCCGACTGTATATATTAATCATAATGTTAGAGTAAATAGTGGGTTTTTAAGATCGAGTGTCTGAATGTTGAAGCTACCGGTGGCAAGGTCTGTTCGACTTTCTGATTGCGACACGATAGAGTCGTGTGGTCGCCGACACTTGCCGACTATTGTTTGCAGAGTCGTCGAAGACGCAGATCTGCGGCAAGAAGGACGAGCTGTGCGCTCAGAACGCCAGACGAATCATGGAGATGAGACTCTACGACGAGAGCTCGATTAGTTCGTTAAACGTCACGGAGATGTGAGTTCGTTGTCCGAAGTTATTTTTCTATTTGCGAAAACGAGCCGCGGAGACAAGCCGCAATTGAACTTTCATTTATCGTAGACCGAGCTGCAACTGCTGGCCGGGCTGCTTCGAGGTGAATTACAGGGCGGAACTTTCGCACAGCAAATTGATGTCGATCGCCGGTAACTCGGAGCCGTACATAAAGAGGAACGAGAATTATTTCACGTAATGAAATATTGTTTAACGCGCGGGCGAAGCCTCGAGTAATTTGAATAAAAGAGTGCAACAGGTTTCAGAGAAAAAGAGAGAGAGAGAGAGAGAGAGGGGGGGGGGAGAGAGAGAGAGAGAGAGAATATGATAGGAATACCGCGCGATACAAGGTGTCCCGAAATTATGCAAATAGTTTTCATTATCGTAGTCTTTTACATCGAGACTGGAAGTGTGCTCAGTGTTGACCCTCAAAAATCCATGGTTAAGAGTTTTAAAGTTACCCTCGCTCTATCCTTTAAAGGGGATGAACAAGAGCGAGTCTTGATTCAGATTTGAAGACCCCTGAGATTACCATAAAATTGGAGACCGAAGCGATTAAAATTCATAGCGATCTCGGAATATCAAGATATTCGGCTTTAGGTGAATTACTTCATATGCACCCTTGAAGAAATGCCTTAAACTTCTCAAGTTAGAATCGATGACTCGAGGACACCTTGTTGCAATGCGTATTTTCGCGAATCTTACGCCATATTTTGTCTCTTTTTTCTTGCGTGCGACATTTTCTCACCCTCGGCAACTTCCCCAACTCCAGAAAGAACATGGCGCTGATCCACATATTCTTCGTGGACTCTCAATTCACCAAGTACGTAAAGACCGAACTGTTCGGATTCACCGAGTTCTTATGTAAGTATCCGATCGGCCCGTAATAACGAGAACCGTCGCAGAACGAATATCAGCGTGTTAATTTATCGCAGCGAGCACGGGCGGCTTGCTGGGTCTCTTCTTGGGCTTCAGCTTCCTGTCGTTCATGGAGATGGTGTATTTCTTGACGATGCGGCTGTGGTGTCGCCTGTACCGGCAACGATCATCCCAAAGACCCGTCGTACTTCAGACACACCCGTTGGATCACAGGAAGAAGGCGATCTATCCATTCGCGAACTGAGGACTTCTTCAGATGCAAATACTATGTAAATAGCGGCTGATAAGTGCAAGATCTATTGTCGGGAAACATATATATGCATATATCGAGAGCGTGATGCTTTTAGCGAATTACAAATTACAAAAGCGAGTGTGATCGCTCTTTTTGACTCCGGCTCGGCGAGCGGAAGAACTTCCCGTGCAAATTCAACGAGTTGTTTTCGCGATCTTGCACGATCGACGTCCGATGGGAGACTTTAATTTCTGCAAATTTTCCAGAAGCGCTTCTCTCACTGAACCATCGGCTGCGCACGACAATGTAGCCGAGAAAAGCGTTCGAATGAAGTTTCAGACCCAGGGAGTCTTTTCCGGGAAAATGCGTGTCTCCCAACAAAGTGAACTTTAACTTTTAACTTGAAGAGTCTCTCCGCGAGAACAGAGCACCGTAAATTTTTTTACGCGAAGCAAGCGGCTACGCATCGCTGAAATAATGTCCGAGTAGACAGTTTCGCTCGCGAAGAGGATCACGTTGCAAAGTCGCAGAAGCACGTGTCACGAGCAGCTCGGAGCGCACGCAATCACGATTACGTCGATACCTGACGTAACTTCGGGTCTTTTTTCAAGGCTCCAGACATGGCCGGAACGGCGATCACCTCTACATCGTCACGAGCGGCCGGTTAGTCCGTGTTGCGAGAATTTGAATTCTTGGGAAAAATCGCATCGGTGCCGCGCTCGCCACCGACGTGCGTCGGAGTCGCACGAGGAAGTCTCGCCGACGAGGAAGACGCACCGGGTCGCTCGCGTTCGCGCGACTGTCAAGCCACCGGCTAACCGAAATATAAAAGACCGCTTGTCGCGGTCCTGATACACGATGGCGAGACACATATATGTATACATACGTGGAGCGAGGAGCTCCCTCGTCGTCGCGAGATACCTTTTCGGCCCGTTCGTCGAGCCTCGCGGTTACCTTGCTTCCACCTCGACGTGCGTTTCTCAGCGATGATCGGATGACGTTCGGCTAAACATCGCGCTGCGATGCGCGGACGATTCTCCGGGGGAAAGTCACAACACGAAACTTAAGACCGTGTGCGGGCTTCACAGCAGAAACTAAACACGGGCCGACACTTACGACGACGCCATGATAGCCGACGACGCCTGCTGCCACGGCGGTGTGGCTCCGCGCGGCGGTACGGTTGCGCTCACGGCGGACGAGCGGGACTTTCGAAACGCGTCTCGCGGCCGACCCGGGGAAATTCGCAGAGCGAAAAAGGACGGAAGAGCTCGCGGATCGTGAAGAAACCGGTCAAATACGGAAATGACATTCGAGCTGTGCAACAAATAAATCGCTGCTGCGCTCGAACTCGGACTTACAACGTAGTTATTGTTCGACTTGACGGAAGACTCCTAGGCAGCACGAGACGTTCTAAAATCGCTCGGAATCGTTCTAAAATCGTATCGAGGATGTTTTGAAAGTGTCCTAGAATGGGGCATATTTGAGAGGATTTTAGGATATTTTGTACTATCTGGAGAATTAGAAAATGGGTACTCTTGCGAAGATCGAAACGAATATCTCGAGCGCTGCGGCGAGATAAATTCGAAGGTACAACGCAGATGTAATTAATGGGACTCAAGAGAGAGACGAGAAATATAAGTCTTTTTGGAAATTCTGAGAAGATCGATCGATCCGGTTTTAACGGAAACTTCTACCATTTCTCTTCGAGAGCTTCGCAAATAGACAAAAAGATATCTTTTAGATTTCTAAAAGATATTTCGCATATGTCCTGAGATATCTTAGATTCTTTCCGAAAAGATATCTTTTAGGGATCTAGATGTTAAAAATATCTTTCAAGACATCTTTTACATGTCTGTAGATATCTTTTAGAAATTCCATAAAGATATCTTCAAAAGATATCTTAAATCTATTTTAGATACTTTTAAGACGAGTTCTAGACATCTTTTAGAAATGTCTTGAAGATATCTTTCATAAGATATCTTTTATCTTTGTCTACAAGATATCAATGTTTACTAGGTTGTTAATACCGTAAAATATACTATTGAAATTAAAAAAGAAATTAAATTACATTAAAAAGAAATTACAATCGTACAAACGACTTCGTCCGAAATTAGCGTTCGAAAAAAGAAAACACTATTAAGGATAATATTTCTAGCTGCGCTTCACACACAATGCTTCGATGCTACAGAATTATAAAAGAATTTACAGGTAGGGGGAGGGGGGAGAAGAGAGCGCGACTGCGTCGCCTGAGTGCGCGCAATTTCGAACACGGCGGGTCTGGTAATGAAAGTGATAAGTTTGCAATGGTTATTGTGGCCTTTCGAAATCTACAAAGTTTTATCTTTCCATAATCAATGTATAAAATAACATGTTTATGTTTCTTCCTTGGCTCGCACGCACCCCACGCGCCTACGCAGCAAGCACGCATGCACACTCGCGCGCGCACACACACACACACACACACACACACACACACACACACACACACACACACACAGACACACACACACACACAGAGGACACACAGAGAGAAACACGCATACGCACATACACACACGACGAAAATAAAATTCACCCAGGAGTTCTTCAAAAATGAAAATGTCCGTCGGACATCATTTATTATTTTATATCTAAGGTCTGATATAATCGTGCGCTAGTTTTTTTTTCCTTTTAATCGGTACGGTTGCTCGTTTATCTAGGCGATAGTCAAGTATAATACACGTTACATTCAAAATTATCCTTCTATTTGTTATATTGACAGCAGACTAATCTAAAGTGACATCCTCTCCTTACGACTTCCTCGTTTTAAATCACCCTTCCCCCCTCCCCGCCCGCCCACCTCATTTATAAAACGGTGTATCTATACACGAGTAAGTTTCTCGGTGACGGCCGCTCGTCTCATTACACCTGGCTGGCTCGGCTCGGACTCTTCGACTATGCGACTCGGCGATTAATTTGCGGACGTTACCCATTATATATTTACAGACGAGGAAAATTGTTTCAACGAGTAGTTCCGCGATCGAGGGACACGAAGGATAATATATGCGCGCGTCGTATATTGTTGTCGTCCGACATCGACAAGGTGAGAAAATGATCCCCGTTGAGAATTCGCATCCGCTTTCGTTTTCTCTTCTTCTCTTCCTTGAGCAAATTTCTCGTTTTCTTTTTAAGAACGCATATTGCACGTGAAGACTCGTTCGTCAGGATATAGCTACGATCCCGACTTCCTGCACGGATTGATTTCCGTTATTTTCTCGCGGATAATCGAGAGTCCGCGCGCTGAGCCGCCACATTCCACTCGCATACGCACAATGAACGGAACAACTGACAGAGAGAAACGAGAGAACTTAATGCGCGCCTCTCGCGAATTAAACTTCGCGATGGCTGAGCCGAAGAAATAAAAAGATAGACCGAAAGAGAGAGTGAGAGAGAGAGAGAGAGAGAGAGAGAGAGAGAGAGAGAGAAGAGAGAGAGAGAGAGAGAGAGAAAGAGAAAAGAGATAGACAATGAGAGAAGGCGGTTTAACTTACACATTAAAAATTAACGCATTATAGATACACTCTTTCGTACATCGTCGTCTTATATGGTACAAAGTAGTCGAATTTAATGATCCGAAGTAAAAGCGGCTAAAAAGAAAACGTGGAATTCATTATTCCTGTAAAACTAACGGTACAAATATCGCGACGGGTGATCGCAATGACGTCCCGACGAAACAAACGGTCCGTTTCTTTTCCTTTCCTTTCCTTTCCTTTCCTTTCCCTTCCCTTCCCTTCTCTTCTCTGCCTTCGTTTCACTCGCAAGGACACGCGGATATCGTGACAGAGTGAATATTTTACAATGATAGACAGCCTCGCGTCGACAAAGAGTCCTTATCACGACGCTCGCTCTCCCGCTGTCGCGCGGATTAACTTAGAAAGAAAGAGAGAAAGGAAGAGAGAGAGAGAGAGAGAGAGAGAAAGAGAGAGAGAGAGAGATCGCAAATTTTTTCCGGGGAGAAAAGAAGTTCCTCCTCAGTCTCCTTACATTACGAGAGAGGCCATTTCGTTACTTCGTCGCTCGGCAAGTAGCGATGTCCCCACACATACACGCGCACACAGTTGCGTTCACGCCAGGACTGTGTCGTTGTCGTCGTCGTCGTCGTCTTTCTCACGCATTCGTTCAGCACTACAATCGTAAGCGACGAAGAACGGATCGTTTAGCGAACGGAACGATCTATTAGGAACGTGTTTTATTATCAAAAATCGCTACGATCGTCGTTACGTCGTCGTCGTCGTCGTCGTCGTCGTCGTCGTCGTTTTCGTTTCCATTTGGATATACATGCGTGAATTAATCCGACGAGAACCGATTACAAATGAATTAGCACGCGCGTAGTACGTATCCTCTTCCTACTTTTCCACCTCCTCCTCCTCTTTCTATGGCTGTGCTTCGATATCCACTGGCAATATTAAAAATTTATATTACACATAATACAAGTTATAGATTCTCAATATTGGCAATGAATAATCGAAACTTGGCCAAAGTTCGTGCGTGACAAGTGCGCGAGAGACCGATAGTCGGTTCGATTTGCCGTTCATCGTGGTCGCACCGAAAATCATAATCGAATTGAGGGGGGGGGGGTGTACATACATACCCGCGGAATCGCGTACAATTCGGGCGACAGCGCGCGTCGACAGGCGGAAATGTACAAATTGTAACGAAATTGTCGCGCCGCCGCGCCGCTCTCGCTCGCCTCGCTTCGCGCGAACGTGAAGTTCTTTTAACGGCGCGCACAACAAGCGGAGGCTCGCCTTTCAGACCCATCGAAAGTTCCACGGCGACACAGTCACTTTGCAAGTGAGGAAACTCGGGGGAATTTTGCGTACGAATACGAGGTATTTCCTCCCCTCTCTCCGGGAGTGTGGATTTGTAAGATTTCTTTTTTTTTCGTACGCAAGAGACGGATGAAAGAGTTCGGCTCTCGTGTGGCCATCGCACTGAACCTCCGCCCCGAAACCTCGACCCTTGAGAGTGCATAAAAATTAGAAACGACCTGAATATCTCGAGACGTCGATCTCGAAACGACGAAAAACCGCGAGCTAGCTCGTTCTGTACCACCATACCACTTCGGAGATCCTTAGAGTTACATTTCCGGAAATACGAATAGCGATGTGAGAGATGTGTCTAGTGAAAAAATATCATTCGGGACCTCTCGCCCTGCCGCGGCTTTTTCTCCTTGTTTCTCTTTTTCCTTTTTTTTTTCTTTCTTTTTCCTCTTCTCGCCTTCTCCTCGCAAACGTGTATGTACAACGAAGCAACGACGAAGAGTCCCGGCCTAAATCAGAGTACACTCGCGCGAGATTAAGGAAGACGCTTCCAGGCGACTTTTTGATTTACAAACGGAAGCTCTAGGTTGTCTCTGTCTACATGAGACGTTTCATCTCGGAGCGTGGAATTGCTGCGGGTAGACACGTCGTCGACGGGAGATCTCTCCACGCCTTTGCGGAATCCCGATGAAACTTTCCGCTCTTCGTCGGCGTCGTCGCCGCGCGATCTCGCGACAATTTGGGACGCTAACTGAAGGACTCGATCGAAGGATAAATTGATTCTTTCGAGAGCGATCGACGCGTTTGCCGGGAAACTCGGTTGTGCTTCATCACACGATAAGATGCGCGAGGGAAGAGGACGCGACGACTCCTCGCGATCCTCGAGAGCAACGGCGTGCCCCGCCGCAGCAATTCTCGACAAACTACTTAGAATTATTCACGCGCCTGATGGTTTGTAATTACGCACGCATACATCGTTCTTCTCCGATTATTACCCGATTTTTGTCATTTAACAATTCTCGGTCAGTCTCTTTTGTAATCAGGAGCTTCTTTCGGCGTTGCGTATAAAAGTATCTTCTCGAAAAAAGAGCTCGTATGCGCGCGCGTGAAACGCAAGGTATCCGCTCGTGCGAGCGCTTCTAGGAGTATTTGTCTTAAGTTTTGATGAGACGTCTTAATTAAGCCGTGTGTATGTATGTGTATGTGTGTGTGTGTGTGCCACCGCGCTTGCAAATTTGACCGTCAGATCACAGTTTCGATAGAGATAGTGAGATGTAATCAAAATAGAGGCTTTTCACAAAAATATGTTTTATGAGAGATATTAATTGAGAGAATGTCGTCGAGGATAGTTTATATTATCGCTATCGATCGTCGAGGCAGAGAGAGAGAGAGAGAGAGAGAGAGAGAGAGAAAAGCTTTCGTTCAGCAAGTCCTTCGCATCTTTCTTCATGTGTTATCCGTGACGATAATTAGAGCCCTCTTGTTCGATCTGGGATTTTTTTTTCTTCGGCATTTCAACACCTTTATCGTGTCTGTTTAATAAATTGAACGTTTGATATCAGATACATTCGCTCTGCCGTGTACACGGATGCGGCTTAATCGTAAGAAAAATTTCCTCGATTCTATGACGCACAATAAAAAATAAGGAAACAGACTGCGTACTCATACAAGTAATTATTAATCTTATGTACATAGTGTGTGTCAAGTATATATTGTACACCTGAGGAATAGAGCTCTCGAAGATCGTTCGTTTTGCGAATAGCGCGAGGATATTAAAAAAAAAAAAAAAAAAGACTCGCAAGGAAGTAGAACGGAATAAAATGTATAGTTGTCCGCGATGTCAATTGTCGTAAAAGGAAAGTAGACTGATATCGTTCGACCGAATTTCCGAACGTGTTGTGTAAAGAATAAAAACTAAAATAACGTGCAGGAGAAAAAAATGCAGGGTGTACAAATTGATCAATAAGTATACTTGTTAGACATTTGAGTGTGCGAGACGATTTCTCTCCAGCAAAGCGGAAGAGAAACTGATTACAAAATTGGCAAGTGGAAAATCAGGGATATTTGGGATGATTACCCCTGCACGCGTAAAATAAAGATTAGTAGCTACGTACAAGGTGCATGTATGTGTGTGTATGCTGCACGACGACACATCGCAGATAATTCTCTATCTTACGAGAATACAAAGATGATTGTGAAACGTACGAAAATTGCTTTATTGTCGCCCTGTACGTCATTAGTCTCTAAGATCCGTAAGTCATTCTATCGAATGAGAGATGTTAACGACTGTAGCAATACTGTCTATACGCATGAGAAACGACCTATCCGCGTCTATTCTAGCGAATATACACAATACTGTGACGTAAAGTTCCTGCTCTAAATAAAACTATCTATTAGGACGAGGCTTCTCTTTCGGAAGTAAATAAAGTTCACAAAGAGAGAAAGAAAAGTTGGCGACATTGCCTCTGCGAGAAAACTGCGAAACAGCGGCATCTCAATGATTCTTGTGCTTTCGCTATCACTCGTCGTGATCGGAGAAAAAAGAACATACGCAAAAACAGTTTCGCTGCTTATTCCGAGATACACAGAAATTTCCCTTCTTATTATCGTATTAACGCGAGAGAACAAAGTATTGCCATTTCGTGATAAAACTTACGAGATGCTGCGTTATGTGCTGACTAAGATGCATACTGTAACTTAAATGTATCTAATCTGCGACTCGTCAGTTACAGGTGTACACCTTGTAGCACATAAATCGTCACGGTTTTTACTAGGTTTTTGTACGATCGACTTATTTTGTTTTCAGCCGGAGCAAACTTGCCCGCAGTTATCCACGTCGTTGCCGGTTCGTTTGACGAATATTCAAGCAACAACGTTAAAGATATCATATAGAAAGTGGCGATAAATGCGCTTCGATAGATCGCTGGTTATCAAGTCGCAGCTTAGATAATGCTACTCTAATCCCGCGTGTGAAAGACCGGTCGGTCTTACGGGGCTAAGAAAATTCACCATAAACTCTCTAATCTAATCGAAAATACTGTAACAGGTATTATGATCATATAAAAGTAAAATTATATGATTGTGTACCTTTATTTTACATGTTGGTTAATAAAACAAAGAAATCCTCAATTTCGGATTCCGTGTAAGACTTCGGGCGAACTCACTGACGATCGCATAGAAAACTGACTGGTGTCGTATAATGACGAGCATAATTGTGTGTGCCTCGTAATATTTCCCGCGTGAATATACAGTAAATCTATCTTTCATCTATAAAAAGAATTGTTCTGAAGTCATTCTCGAGTCACGTTCGTCTGACTTTTGCAATTCAAGAAATAAAACCTTTTCTAAAACTGTAGAAAAAAAAAAGAGAGAGAGAAAAGAAACTGATACAGTGTTTTACACGATATTCAACTCGTTAAGAAGTTTGTTCTAGTAAAGGCGCAAAAACAATTAAATAATAACGATAAAAAGAAATGTTTATAGCTTTAATAGCGAAACTGTTGCACAAAATCTACCTCTACCGGTGCTCGAAAGAATACCCAAATAATAGCTTCGAAAAAGCGATAGGTCAGATAATACCTTGACTTTACCGCACGGTGCAAGCCACCAATCGTGAATGTATGGAACCGTTGATGTACAAACTATCTGTTTGGTGATTCTCGATACTTAAGAATAGCGACGGTGCGGGATCGCTTTAACAAGTGGGGATATAAAAATTAATGTATGTGTGTATAGATGTGTGTATATACGTATGCGCGTACATACATATACACACACATACGGATATCCACATTTATATGCATAGATATCTAGTCGGCTACTTGTCGTTATAAACTAGAAACTATGTTTTAATTGATATATTTATATAGCTCGCGGTCTTAAAATTATAAAACAGATTAGTCTGCCCAACGATATTCGTCATTATTATTGCAGCTTCAGCGAGTTATAGGTATCTCAATACTTAAAAATACCTTCACATTATATTCGTGCTGTCGTTATCGTCGCGGTCGCTGTCGTCATCTCGGTAGTGCAACGCTTTTTTTCTGTTCCCGAATGACTGGACGGAAGAGGGCTCGCACTGATCGTTCCGCTCCACGCTTTTCCCCAAGGCGCTATTCGAAATTCTCCGTTCGTCAACTATCCGCATTGTCGCGCAGTTCATCAGACTTGAGACAATCACGATCGAAATTAAATGGAGACTCTAAGAAGATGAAAGTTTTCAAGGCTTATTTCCACTTTGATATCGAGAAGGGCCGAGGTTTGGGTATTGTACGAACATAGTCGTTTCTTTCCATTTCGTCTATTTTCTCTCGCTTTGTGATTGGAAAGGTGCAACGCATTGTCTTCGAATCTTCATAGAAATATTCAATACCTCATACTTGTACCCGAAATACACGCAATCCGTCGTTATTACAATTCGTCGGAAGTACACTTCGTCGGTCTAATAGTAAAATTTTTTGCAACTATTGCACACTGTCATGTCGCGATACATTGTGATATTCGGTCAAAGATGTCCAGCAATCCCGTTTACATGAACAAACTGATGATTACACATAAATAAGAGTAAGGATTGCGTGTTCCGTATATACTAGAAAATATACCGCATATATGTTAGTGTATTGAAAGTTTTGGTATATTTATCATACACCAATCATGTATTATACGATATATATTTTTCTAACTAGTATATACGAGACTCGCTGCGATACGATCCAATTTCCCTTCCACACTTGTCGCAAATGGCAGAATATATAAAGTAGATACATTCAATTCTCTACTATTTCACACGAGATTTTCGTTGATCTTGGCGGTTGGGAGAGGCTTCCGATTATTCTACGAGCCGAACTCTTCCGGGGACACACATTCCACAAAATTTCTCACTCGCGCAATATATCGCAGAGTTTCTCCATTCCTTTTTTTGTCCTTTTTTCCCTCTAAACCTTTACCCACTTAAATCCAAGTTATTTACCAAGCAGTCGTCGTATATTCTTCCACGGAAACGAAGTCGTCGCACACGAAAAAAAAGGAGAAAAAAATTAGATAAAGAGATGCGCCACTCGATCACTTTCAGGACACACTCTCTCTTCAGACACAGTTTTTGTATCTGTATTTCATACATACATACGTGATTTTCGCTCGTCTTGAGTGATTAATATTTGTTTAGAAAAGGGTTAAAAAAGTTAACCTTTTTACCAGCTCCTGAAAAGTATTCTCTAGCTGAATCATTTAGGCTCTGGGAAGGCCACCTGACACTTGTAGACCTCTTCGAGCATCACTGCTTGACCTTGCCCTTGGCTGACGGTGACAGGAGTGGCTGCATTCACCACCACGACCTGGCCTGGCTGTGTCTGCTGCGGCTGTTGTTGCTGCTGCTGCTGCTGCTGCTGACTACTCGCGTTGGCCTGTTGTGCGTTAGCCGGATTATTCGCGTTTTGGTTTCGCGCCGTCTGACCGTACTTTTCGTGGATCGCACGATGACGTTTCAACGCAAAACGATCGGAAAAGCCGATTTCACATATATCACACCTGAAGAAAGAACTAAGTGTATTTTGCGTGCGTGAAGAAGAGTACTGAGTGCGAGAAAAATTGGCCTGGATAATCGAAGAACTCTGCGCTGTACGAGAGATCACTCACCTGTGCGGCTTTTCACCGGTATGGACCTTCGCGTGATTCTTAAGATGCGTGGCCTGGTTGAAGGCGGAACCACATATATTACACCTGTACGGTTTCTCGCCGGTGTGAATTCTTCTATGATTCCACAGCGTCGAATGTCTAGCGAATGTTTTTTCGCAAACCTCGCACTGGTATGGTCGCTCACCGGAATGGATTCTTTCGTGATTTTTCAAGTGCGGACTTTGCGAAAATTGCATTCCACAAACATTGCACTTGAACGGCTTCTCACCGGTATGAACTCGTCCGTGGTTCTTCAAGTACGCAGCTGGAGGGAAAACGATAGAAAGGACTTTAGACTTTAGGACTTACGAAGGAAGCTCTGCTCTTGTTAAAATGCTCTTTTAGTTGCTCTGATGCACAGAAATTGTCGCATCTCGTTTTGTCTGTTGCGACTTGTACAACAGTCTCGTTTTTTTTTTTCGTTCGCTTGCTTACCTTTTGCAAATGCTAAGCCACACACTTCGCATTTGAATGGTTTATCTCCCGTATGAAGTCTCTTATGGGACCAGAGTGAAGAATATCGAGAAAATGTGCCGTCACAGACGTTACAATGAAATGGTTTCTCCGCTTGATTCTGACTGTTTTGCTTGCCGCCTGAAATTGAAAGGATAAACAAGATTTTAGTTTTCCTCAAAGGGCCAGTTCTACAAAAATGATATACTCGTAGTTGTTTTACGAAAAATCTATGAACGCGATACACTGGACTTGTTTTCACCGATATATCAGTTTTCTCTCAATACAATACCGAAAAAGGGATAATGTACACACGAAACATGAAGTTATATGAAATGAAATGGTAATAATTACATGTACGATTCAATTTGTGTGAAGCAATTTGACCATGCATTATATTGTAAAAGTTAGTGCACTATATGAGAAAATCTGGACGCCACAAGCGATCAAGTAAAACTCTGCGGCTTTGTCTCTATCGCGTGATTGAATCCGTGAAACATGGTGAAATAATTTCTAATGGGCTGTATCATGAAATAAAGAGAAAGAACTGTAAACGGCTAAGCGGAAATTCAACATTTAACTTGACTTATGTACAAAGAATCTTGTCAAATCCGACATAGTCTTAGATTTATAAAACTGTCCCTTAGGGGAGATTTTATTCTGTGCGATTGTCCTTAAGTTTAGATGTCGACAGTTCTACTAAAACCAAGGGGAAGAAAATAACAGCAAAGCAGGATAATCACAACTAATTAGAAAACTTGACACAATAAAGCAAGAATATTGAGTAATAAAAGAACGGAAGAGGGAGTAATGGAGTGTAACAGAGACAAATATATTCCACCTACAAAAATACATGCAAGCGAAAATATATATTGAGGTAACATTAATCAAGATTTAGGATATTAAAAATTTCATAGTTTTCGAGTGTTCTTAATGGACACATCGAAAATCACAATCGGCCTGACAGAGCCGTGTAAATTAATAGCGCTTAAACTTCGATATGTGAGAATCTGTGATCCATAAAGACTTTAATCCTTTATTGCAATTAAAAAGAAAATCTATCGGCGTACGTGTACGCATCGCCTCAAGCATTAATGAAATTGCACATAAATATGGAACATATCGCGGAGAATAAACTTGAACTGTCACCATCCAAAACAGACATGATATTATACTCATATACTAATCGAAAAAAAAAAGAAAAAAAAAGAAAAAAGAACAGATCCCATACTTGTCTCTTGACTTGATAATTTATATCCGACTTACTTCCTATGATGATGCGGCCTGTAGCCTTGCAACCGCCACACTTTGCGAGGGAATTGATTCCGGAATTTTTTTCGTCGTGTTTACCTACCATACATCACCCGATGTACGATCATGATATAGCAATGATATGTATGAGGGATGGGGAAGAGGAACAACATTTGAACAAAATGTTGCTGGTAATGCGCATGCAATTCGTACATCGAACGCATGAGCCGTGTAAATACAAAAGCACTCTTATTGAATTCTCCAAGTGAAACAACGTCGCGCTTTATCAGCAACATCTTTCTGCGGGCCTATCAGCAGAATGTCAAGTGACACCCAATCGGTGTGATCGAAAAATCGATACTCACCTATAAAAATAATTCCCGTGCCGTTGCACTTGTGACACTTGGTGACACTGGTAACACCCCTCCGTTTCACTGGATGATGACCAGGTTTGATAGCTACACAAACGAATGTATATTTTTTTTCTTTTCTCTTTCTCTTTTTCTGAAATTGATTTCGTATCCGCGCGAGTGCGGGAACACCGCGGCAGGGCAGAGTATTACGGAGCTAGAGTTAGGCCCGCAAAGACGACATGGACTCGACATGGCATTTATACTTGTGGCGAGACAGAAGGAGATTACTACGCGAGAGAGTGCGTATGCGTTATGGGAATTTTATGGAACTGCAAGGTAACGTTGATTACAAGCCCTTTCGTTTTCGCGTTCCAACAAATGTATCGTATCACCGAACACTGACTACGAGTTGAAATTAATTGCTTAAGGGACATACTCTTTTTAATTTTAGTTGGATGATGTTCGCATGGGTCCTCACTGCCACAATCTTCACAAATTTGCATCTTAGGTTTCTGATGCATGTTTGTTTTATGACTTTTTAATTCTCCCGGTAATGCAAAGCACGCCCCACAAACGTCACAAGTGTACGGTCTGTCCGGCGTGGTTGCGACAGTCACTGTTGTCGGCGTTTGTACCACAACCTGCTGCTGCGGCTGCTGCAGATTGCTGGGTGTCGTGTTGTGAATCCGTTTGTGGTGAGTCAGCAGGCTCATGTGGCCGAAGACCAACCCGCAAATGTCACACTTGAAGGTCGCATTGGTAGCAGCGGCAATGCTCATCTGGTTCAATATTGTGTTATAACCGACAGGTTGCACATCGAAACGATAACAAGCCTTGTCGTCGGCAGCGATCGCACTGATTGTGCTCACCGCGTTTGTCTGAACCTTTTGTAGCATGTTGACGTTGTAGTAGAAAGAAGGGAAACCATCAGCCGTGCCGGACTGCTGCTGCTGGGACTTGTCCTCCTTCTTGTCCGACGTTACATATATCTGCTGAGACTGTTGCTGCTGCGACTGCTGACTCTGTGCAGCCTGCTGCTGCTGGATTTGTTGAGGGTCAAACATTGCTGCTTGCTGCTGCGGAAACATATCATTCCACAGAGTTAATTAAGAAAAAATTAACAAGCTTGTCGATATTATCAGTAGATCTGTTTTCTCTTTTAAGCTAAACTAGGAGACATTTTTTATTTTTATAAGCCAAATCAAGCATATAACCTAATAATGTTAGAGAGAGAAGAAATAAAGTTTGAACAAAAGTTCAGTTAAAAAAAACAGACCATGTTCAAGTAAACATGTCAGGAAATCACAGAGAATCAGTATCAGTTGGTATCAATTGAGACGCTCTTAGCTTTATGTGAAAAATCCATACTATCAATATTGATTTGGTGTGATTCCTTGAGGACACACGGATGCAAAATTATAGCCTTTCCTACATCTATCGTTCACACACTGAAAGATAATAAATAAATGTACCTGTCTCTGGTCTGCGTAACTCGAATTGCTTTGCTCAGTCTGAGTAAAACTATTAGATTGCTCCGTTTGAGTAAACATGGAACACTTTAATGGCTGCTCAATTGGTTGACTCTGTCAATGAGAAATGTTCATCAAGTGATATTATTATCGACAGCATGAAGATAGATGGAGAGTGAGAAATAATGCATAGAGAGATCTATCTGATACGACTAAACTTTGAATCTGCAAGAGTGCGGAGCAAAATACCAACTTCAATCAACACTCTTATCATTCACACATATTCCCCGTACATTCTTTGCTTGCCTTACGCGCGACGCATACCTGCTGTATTTGATCAGGACGGGTTGCGTTCAACCACACCACGTTGTTGCCATTTGATTCTAGGGCCATCGATGTGTTGCCTTTGACCCTGTAACAATCAATAAATGATTGTTACAAACTCTACTTGAACAAGTGTCACGTAGGAGACACCACGTGAACACAGTGAAACTCTCTATGTGACAGATAGAAACAGACGGATGTGTGACAAATATAGAGAGAATAACGATTTCCCCGACGGCAGACACGCCGGGTCATGGAGGAATGATTGCAGGCATGATCAAGGCAGAGCGGGAAAGCGGCGCGCGCGAAGACGAGATGGAAAAGAAATCTACCTGTAACAACCGACGAGCTCGATCGCGCGTAACTCGCACGCTCGTTCGCTCGTTCACTCACTCACTCACTCACTCGCTCACTCGTTCGTTCGTTCGTTTCGTTCGTTACGTTCGCTCGCTCGCTCGCTCGCTCAGTCGCTGGCGCGCGCGAAAGCGGACGTATATATAAACATACTCACACGTGATGGTTGTACACGCAGCGGGGTTACACGTCCGGCTGCCGAGCGGCCGATAATCCTCTAGTTGCCATGACGGCGGCGCGAACTGCCGCGCAGCAGCTCAGCGCGCGACGGTGCGCGTCGTCTCGGACGATGATATCGCGCGCTCGTGGAGATTGCACCTCGCCGATCTGGACCTCACCGTCGGCATACGTTGGCGCGCGCGCGCGCCTTGTCCAGCATCCGCGACGAAGAACGATGGGAGAGGAGTCAGAGGAGGAGGAGGAGGGAGGAGGGAGGAGGAACAGAAGGAAGAGAAGTAGGCAGTGGTAGTAGTAGTAGTAGTAGTAAAAGTAGAAGGAGGTGGAGAATAGAGAGGAGCGGAACGGAAGGAGGTGAAGGAGGAAGACGTGTTCACTCCTCGTGCTGTGGAGGAGCGCGCGACGCTCTCTTAGTAGTTGGAGCACGGTCGTTTGGGGCCGTGGTCTCGCGAGAAATCAATGGCGTTCGATTTCGGCGAGAGCGCTGTTCGATTCGCCAGACTCTCTCTCTCTCGCGCGCGCGCTACCTCCCGGTGCTGAATCCCGGCGGCTGCGGCTGCGGCGGTGGCAGCGGTGGTGACGGTCGCGCGGTCGCGGTCGTGGCGGTAGCGGCGGCGGCGGCGGCGACGGCGTTGGCGGGTCGCGTTATCCGACACCGAAATTGCGACGGACCGCACACGCTGCTTTCGCGCCTCACACGTATTCACTTATCCCGCCTCTTCTCGTCGGCTCCGGGCCGGCACGCGCGCTCTACGGCTCGCGAGCGCGCCAACAGTCACGTTCGCGGAGTCACACGCTTGTCAACGGGCAGCGTTGGCCCGCGCAAATCATGGTCGGATGCGTGGAGAGCGGCGCGGTGGCGGTTGGCGGCGACTGTAGGTGCGAAGCGCGCGGACCGTCGCTGTTCCTCGTCGCGTACGTGGTCTCCTCTCTCTTTCTCTCCCGTTCGCTCGCTCGCTCACTCCCTCTGTCCTGCGTTGCTCGCTCGCTCTCTCGCTCTCGCTGTCCGCCTCGACGGCGGCGGCGGCATAAAACTTGCCGACGCGGATCTTTCGCGGCCGGGCACTGCCGCACAAGAGAACACGCGTTACCGTGGACACAGGGTAGGCCGGGAACGCGAGATGGCGGACGGCACAACGAGTCAACAAACGTACGCGGTGGCCATTACACGCGGACGAGGATAACAATGGGCGACACGGAACGCGCGCTGCCCCCCGAAGCTGCTGTCTCTCTCCGAAGCGTTTTACGGGCGCCTACCGTGAGCGTAGCCATTGGCTTCGCCAAGGTCACAGCGTGATGACGCTCGCGCGCCCCGACGCGCGCTCCGATTGGCCCGTCGCCGAACCGTGAATGCTGCTCCTTGCTTACGTTCACGCAGCGCGTTAACGTCTTTTTCGAGTCGCTCTGTGCCAACTGTACTTTCTGCACCTTCCTTTGGCTCGCGCCGTTTTCTTTTCTTTCTCTTGTTCCTCTCCCTCCTCGTAGGTCTCATCGTTAAATTACTGGAATACATGGATCATGTGCGAACATGAGATGAGAAGATTTTCAACCGCGAGGCTCAGATTTCACCCGCGTTTTCTGCGGGTAAGCATCGGCTCGGCGACGGTAAGAATTCTGCTTTGAGTCTTTTCGATGTGTTTGGGAATGGATGAATACCGTCAGGGTAATTTGTAAACTTGGACTCGTGTTGGATGGGATATTGGAGATTGAGAGTGATGGATCGGAGATCGTGAGGATTCGCAATGAATTAATTAATTTCGATCTTGGCTCGCTTCCTCCCGATTGGTCGAGTTTCTTTAATCCGTACTTCTCAATTTTCAACGCAGATGGGAGTCTACAGGATGATCGCGGGATTTTCACCTGTTGTAAAATTCGCCCAGGTTTTTGTTTTTGCAACCTTCTCGTTATCTTACGGCTATACTTTTGAAATATTCTATCGCGTCTGCTTAATTCTGCATTGTATTTTTTATGTTCCGGCGAATGAAACTTTAGAGGGATAGCTGCAAGTAATTGCACAGTTGGAGCACAGATGGCGACGCTGTTCGGATTGTCCGATGACCGTTTGCAGTTAACTCAGACGCGCTCTTTGCTTCGAGATTCTTTTCGGATAAAAGGTCCGTATATTCCGACATTATTTTTCATTTGAAATTTCCAAAATAGTCTTTTGACATTTCTCTTGTTGCAAACTTCATCAATTACGAATGATTGTACTCTGTAGGAAAAATTGCTGAGGAAGGCATTCGAAAAATGGTATACGCTTTCTGTGATCTTAACCAAAACTTGTCGCGCGATTTATGAATCATTCATTCGGAAATTTAAAGTTTAACATATCGCTCGTCGCTTTTTTAAATACAACCGAGTCACGTCGCAAAATTTTTGCGGTTATTTTTGTCACAGAGAGGGACAGACGGTACTACACTTCATCTTTTCTCGTCCGCCGACGTTGATGATTCCGAGAGCGGCTATTTCAGGCGGGCTCTTTGCAGTTTTATTTTCTCTCTAAAACTTAGAAGAAAGAGAGAAAGAGAGACGAGGTACGATGTATAAATTTTCCGAAATCGAGATCCACTATCGTATCGTACAAATATTGTCCAGCGATCGTGGCCATTGGACTACGCGGAATACATACAGCCAATCAGCGGGAAAGGATATGTATTTATAGATATCGCGATGCGACGCGAACGGGGACATATTTTTTGAGTCAGCTGTTATTTCGAGATTTAGCCCTTTGAGCTCGCACATATGTCGCACCGAAGTCGAAGTCGCCTCGATGCATGTGGCTGAGAAGATCGGTTCGATTTTTCATCGAAGCTTCTCTCTCATTTATCCACCGCAATGCGAAGAATCGCGCGTGGGATAGCCACCGCCGTTGTTTTTTACGCGCACCCTTCGCGCGTACACTTTGTCATTCACGACTTGTAATCGCGCGGTATTACGAGCCAGCAAAGAGCCAGCACGTAAAGATATAAAACAATAACGTGCTCCCCCTCCAGAAATATAAAGCAAGAAAAGCGTGTCACGACGAGGTATGCCGCGCGCGCGCACCATTGGCGCTTTACAGCTGTCTGACTATATTTTCGTGTTTCTACTGCCAATGAAGCGGAGATATGCATCGACCGTGAGTGTATGAGTTATTATTTAGCGTGCACCCGACTGCTTGCCTGTATTCGCATTCCCGCTTTCGGAATTTTCAAATCATTACCCGCTTAGGTTGCAAGGAAAAAAGGTTTGCTGCTTGTGACCACACTAGGGAAATAATCATGGACAAGAAATTCATTTGCACAGTAAATGATATTGCAGCGCAATAACGATCGCTCGATATGAATATTCTGAATGCTACTTTCTTGTTAGGAAAATAAAAAATACGGTTAATACTGAAAATAACTGTAATGAGATTAATTTTCTTTTACAATAATTTTTTTTCTCAATGAAGCGGAGAAGAAAAATATTTTTAATCAGGCGATCTGTTCATTTATTGCTAGAGGAGGGGTCATAAATAGATATTAGAACCGTCTTCATTGAAGAAACACAATCATAACTGGGGGTCGAAGAAAGAGTGTTGAAAATAAATAAAATTATACATAGTCAATAATAATAATTATTATTATTATATATATACTAGTCAATCTTTATTTTATTCAATGAAAAAGAATAGGCTTCGTAAATAGGATATTGGCCGCTAATGGGTTGATGGTTCTCGAAATGCGCTCCGAAAGTTCCACGGGGAAAGTTTGACGCGCAACGCGTTCGGTCAATCTGGCTTTTCTTCCGTCCGAAAATTCGCATTTGTCATTACGATCAAACTCGACAAAACGCCAATTCTGCCGCGGACGCGTTCGCTCGCGGGAAAATTTATCTTCTGCGTATAGTGTACCGGCGAAAGTTTGCATCTGACGAGCGAGTTGAACTCGTTAGCGCACAACGCGAAATTACTTCTTTTTTATTTCCATCCAGGCAAGATTCAATTTCAACAAGCCGGAAAAACTCATATTCCCGGCACCATATTCTCGCGTTTCTTGCGAATCACCGCTAAGAATAATAACGTTCATCATTAACTTCTGCGAAATGATATCGATCGTCGTAAATCGCGGTGAGTCACATTCTCCCCGGCCTGATTTTCGTCACGACCCCCGGGAACGACGTATCCTCGCGGCGTTGTACCGCTGGCAAGCATTCGTGTTAATCTTCCGGTGGCTGTTTCTAGGAATATAAACGACGGCACGAACTCGATGGCACCCACATATGACTCTCGTTTGGGGAACTCTGTCGTCGACTGGCGTTACGGGCAAGACTTGGCTATGCTCCTGCCTAGCATCGCGACAAGCCATAACGATGGTGAGTCAATAAGCTATAAATCTATCGACGGATCTTGTCGGCGGATATCTGCGGAGAAACCAAGCCTTTCTTTCCAATCGTTGCGTAGCCGCTCATATGGAAATTGCGTGTCGTACACTGAAGCAGAAAGAACAAAAAGTTAAGCTGCCTCAGGATTACGCAAGTTGTGTCGCACGAATTCTTCCTGCGATCTAGCCAATTTAAATGAAAATCGAATTGCTTCATTGAACCAGATTCCAAGCTTGTTTCGCGCAAGCAAGAGATTAAGAGAACACGAACATTTTGCCGAGATAATTGGGGCAGTGGTTCGTCGTATACGGCCTCAAAATTGAATTCGTCTGTAGCTCAAATGACTCACTGATGTTGTTTCGACCGATCTTTTTCTGTTTTAATGCTGCAATTGTTATTCTCCGTATGCCTTTGTAATTTTAGACAGCTGGACAATTATGAAACGCTCTCGATGCGTTTTGTTTAATATGGAAATATCTGTGAAAATGTCCCCCTTCTCTTTACTTTTTTTCTTTTCTTTTATGCAAACAGCGCGGCGAGAGATGCTTCTATGAATACGGCTTCTGTTGTGGACACGTTTGCACGAGGACGACACGCTGGTTGTTTTCTTTCCCATTTTCGGTGGAAAATGAAATTACGATATTTTCCTTCCTCCACGTTTTCCCTACACTGGAATTATACTTTAAACGATGTTTGCGTTTGATTAAAAATGTTAACGAAGCGAGTGAGGACGAGGACGAGATAATATTCTTTTTATGTCCAGTTCGAGTATTAGCCAGGTTCACACAAAAACGTTCGCGCGGAAGTCGTTTGGATAATACGGTACTTGAAATCGATACGGTAGTGTGAATAAAACGCCATCACTTTCGTCCTCCAGGATGCAAAAGTAGGCCCTTTAGGCCTTCTCTCGCCGTCGTGAGACGATTCTTGCGTTGCGACTGCCAGCTAATTAGTCGTTTAATGTTTTTGCGTTTTATGTCGGCGAGCTTTTCTCATCGCTATGACAATTCGTCCTAAATTGCATCGAAGCGTAAATCACTTTCGATGTTAGCAATACGATAGATTTTTATAATATCCTCTTAATGATATTTTTTAATAATATCTATGTGAAAAATACTGATTCTTTAAAAGTATAATAAGTAATTATGAGCTAATTGTACGAAGATTCGCGATAATAGAATGTCTTCACGGCGAATTTCATGCAGCTTTTATACGGCCCTGCATTTGGTAGCGCCGATTTCAAAGCGACCCGGCGTCGAATGTACTCTCAGTTGGCGTCGCGACGTCGGCGTCGAAGGTACGCGGGGGAGATTCTCGTTCATACCTGCTGGATGCACAGCAGATCCGTGATTTTGATCTCGCGTGAAAGAAATACCCTTAAGATATATGCTACTGCCTGCGACTCGGTGTTTGGTTTGAAGTTCGGAGCTGGGAACAAAGCTGGACGAAATGGAATCGAGCGGAAGAGCGCATTGCAGATTACTTTAAAATGACTCTCCACAGTAATACTTTGGAGGATAACGAGACATCGTAAGGATTCAGATAAGAGAGTGTGCGAAAGGAGCAAGGGACCACCGCGGTAGTTCTGGAGTCTTGGATCGTTAACGGCTCGAGATCAGCATGACGATTCAATCGCAATTCATCGTTGAGCCGCCGTCGCAACCCTCACGGATCGCAGGATTCGTCGGGACGATAGGGTAGCCAAGGACGGTCGGCCAGTTTCGCGGAGGAGGGAAAGTTCCTCTTTCAATCGCTGTACAAAAGGATAGCTCGTGTGATATTCCTATCCTTTCAGTCCATGTCAAGGAACGAGCGAAGGTTCGTGGGACGCGGAAGGAAATCGAAAAGGACACGCGTTGAGAGAGCGATCAGAGACGTGTCTCTCGTCGAAGGAAATCTCGCGGCGAGAATTCCTTTCCCGTTCCGTATGAGTGACTCAATTATACGACGTCTTTAGGTGCAGCAGACTCGAAAATCGAGTCTCTGCTGGGATAACAGCTATGCGCGGGAAAATAACGAGAAATATTAACACGACAGATATAAATTAAGTAAAATATATCATAAATTATCAAATTAACACAGCAGTCTCTATTAAATATAAAAATAAATATAAAAATACAAAAATATAAAATGAAGATATATATTGGAAGTACGTCGATAGAGTGCGTAGAGATTTTCGGAGATCGCGCGAGAGTTTCTTCACGAGAATAATCTATTCATGTGCTTCGACAACGCGTGGATCGATCGATCCTCGGTTATCCGGCAGGTAATGAAATTCGCCGCAACGGATGATTAGCTCGACAGAACTTATTGGAAAAGAACGCGTGCCGTAGGAAGATTAGTTTCTAGTGAAGTAAGAAGAAGAGAAGGATAGCGCGAACGAGAGGCGGCATCGGTTTACATCGTTAACAGCCGAAGGAGCTGAGTTTATTTGTTAATCGTGGGTGAGCTCGGTAATAAATCCACGACGACATTTCCCCAGGGTCAAAGATCGCTTTCACGAGCGCGATATCTTTCACGCGATAGCTTTCATCCATAAAAAAATAGTCAGATCTGAAGCTTCGTATATGTTTGATCAAAATTATCGTCTTTTCGCGAAAGGAGATCTAGAAAAGATTTAGAAAAGAAGATTTAGAAAGAATTACGCTGATAATGCGAGAGAAAAATACGCAGTTCTTCATCGCGCGATTATCTTGCCTGCATGTGTAATGAGGTTTATATAATGCGATACTTATTCTTTTATATCATACATATACGAAGTACGGAAAAATGAGTGCGGTAGGAACGATTCACGTGGAATCTCAATGCGAATCTTCCAAGGTAAAATCGTGAAGCGTGATATGACGATAAATTTTTCAAATATCACGCAAATTTTTATCGAGAAACATATTATCTGGTCAATTCCAATAACGTTTACAAGAAAAAGATGTCTTTTTATTTTTCACTGAGCTCCCGCGAAATACTTTTACAGCAATTTAGACTTTCACACGGATGTTGCTCGAAACGTTTAAACGAAAGCGGAAAAATGTCAAGGACGTTAACTGTGTATTTGGAAACCCCTCCCTTCTCATAAAATATAATCGTCCATATTTTCCATGCGTGGCAACCGAAAGTAATAGTATCGAGTCGTTTGTATGCAATTTAATCATCTTTACATATCGGTTATACGAAATCTCGTATTGCAGTCGATAACGCGATTTTCACCATTTTCGAAAATCGCTGCGCGACAGTTCTCGTGTGCTGCTGATTTCGACATCACATGTGAAATCGCACCCGGTAGAGCACGTGCGATTGTGTAACTCGTGAAATATATTCTCCCATGATTCGAACGCGGCGCGAGTGTTGCGTACACGCTCGTACTATTTATTACTAGAATTCATTCGGGATCATCGACCTGCTGCTGTGTCGACCGAATAATTTTAGATAGAAGCAGGATCTCCTTGAATTACAGGAGCGTGATTTCGTGATCACAAGGAGAATATCTGACACGGTCAAGATCAATGAGTACCTGCGCAATTTATGGCATCTGCTCGCTGTCTCCTCGATCACCGCGTTGATTAGACCGACGCGCTAAGATATCCCCCGGATACCAAATTATTAATATCTCCCTCTCTCTCTCTCTCTCTCTCTCTCTCTCTCTCTCTCTCTCTCTCTCTCTCTCTCTCTCTCTCTCTCTCTCTCCCCCCTCCTTGTTCGGATATAAAGATGAATTTTCTTTGATTCATTCGGATTCGCTCGCCCAATCCAGCATATTTCAACGAATGCAAAACCAGCGAAAGGATGATTTATACCTGGATTAACAATAATATCATTAATTGAATTGATCTTTTGCGAATACTCAATTTGATATTTCTTGACAAATGCGGGACCAGCACAAAAATTTTTATATGGAGATAATAATGATATAAGCATCACTGATAAATATTAATATTTCTTCAATGCCGAAATGCTTGGTGCTTCTTGAGTACATCTTCGGTGATTTTAGTGTTCTTTCAATATTAGCGTCACGTATGTGTTATATAGAGGAAACTTTCGAACTTTTATTAGCAATATACGATATATGCGATATATCAAGATTCTTTTCATTAAACTATCACGGTGGCTGTAATTCGTGAATTTCGCGTTTTGATATTACTCTTTTAACGTTCTCCTTAATTCAATATCTCGACCAAGTTGGAATCCTTTGTGGCTCGGAAAGTAACGACGTGTTAATAGCTTCACCCGCGATCATTAGGATTGTTCGGTGAGCTGTGGGTAGTGCTTTTCATAAATTTGACGAAAGAAACCGATATATCACACGCTCGGCCGACCGACTCTCAAGACAGATTTCTGTCTCTTTCTCTTTCTCACGAGGAGTTTGCCAACATTCTTCCCTCTCACAGTGGCCCGTCTATTTATACTTAGACTTGAGTAAAATTTATAGGTCTAGAAAATAGCGGGGATACAAAAAGGATATACACTGCAGGAATTATTACTGGGCTATTACACACCGCTCGAGGGAAACTGCGCAAGATCTGCCTTTATAAACTATTCTCATCAAGTGGCGTCTATACGTTCGACAGGTTTACGCAGTGCGAATAATGGACGTGTGAATATCGAACTGGCTACTTGACGAAAATACTTGACAGCGCAACCTTTCTCTCTCTCTCTCTCTCTCTGTCTTCTTTTATAATCTCTCTGCACGGGTCAAACACGCACACACGCAAATCAGATCGCGATCAGATGTCCTCTACGTAGACAGTGGCAGCTGCATCAAGGTATCTCTCGGGTGGATATAAACGCGAACGAAGAATGCATATCTCGAGACATATTCGGCCCTCGAGAGCACAGCCAGACTGTTCCTCCTCGTGACGGATTCTCTCGACGAGGACCTCGACGTGCAACTGGAGACCTACCGTGGAAATCGAGGCAAGCTCGTTGATCGGATACGCTAAGAAGACGACGACAGCGAGGCGCACGATTTCGCGAAAATGTCGAGCTCACCGCGAGTACGGAAGATGCCGCCCAGGCCGAAGATCACGCTGCCGGTGCCCGGACAATACTATCCGCAAACGGGCATGGGTTACGTGCCGACACCGTATGGACAAACACCGGTGCCGATGACGCCGGTTTCCGGGCAGCCGCAGATGTTCTACTCGAACCGGGCCAGCGAGTTCGTCTTCACGCAATTCAAGGGGATCAAGGACCTGACGAAGTCCGGGCTCAGTGTGGGAGAGAAGAGCGCCTTTTGGCTTTACGAGAAGGTAAAGGGCCGTCGCGAGAGCGAGAGAGGAGACGATTTCCCTCTCACGTGATGGTACCGAGACGTTGCACAACGGTCCGTTCGCGGCGCACGTCACTTAGGCGACGTCGTTGTACTTTCTGCACCGTCCGACGATAAACTTCTCACGTGCGCAGGTTAGCTCCTGGAGCAAGAGGTGGTTCACGCATATCTTCTTATTCGTCATCGTATTTCTGTACAGTATCGCCGGGGCGATGATCTTCGTGACAGTCGAGGGCACGCACGAGGAGATTCTCCACTTCAACATTCGGAAGGAGAGGTACGCGAAGCATGAGACTTCACGTTGTCGTGTGTCATTCCGCATCGCCGAGTTGTCGAGAGAAAACGTGAACACGACGACGTATCGCGCGGAACGTGGCCGTTTGAACGTGCAGAAAGCTTGAGGAAGATATTCGGTAGTCATTCCTTCCGACTGAACGTGAGATATATCGCGAGGAATACATTAACGATGAACGTTCGGTCGCGTGTGCGTCGAGTCAGAAGCTTCGAGCTTCTTCCGATGGATTGCTGCGAAAATAATGAACTCCGTTGCACGCTCATTTATGAAACCGCGCTGGATATATGAGACGCGCGCCAAAGAATGTATCGGGCGCATCGTGATAGAGGAAATCGTTGATTGTCCTGGAAAAATGTGGGACAGCCGAGCGGGGGCGGGTCGAGAGAGAAAACGAATAAAAAAGCGCGATTCAACGTACGCTTTGCGAATTCGTAAGATCGCGACGCTTTAGCTTCGGAAAGCTCCGGAACGTACCTGAAAAACGCATTCAACGGGAGAATTTATTTTCTGACAAAATTCTCCCGTTGGATACGAGTACGTCGCGAAACCCGAAATCGCTTTGTAAAAAGTGAAGTTGGCAAGTAACGCGCACGTCCAAGAGAAATCTTAAGAACGTCCTTTAAGACCCGCTTAAACGTTGGAAGTTTGTTCTCCAGTAAAAAAAGTAACGATTTAACTTAGTAACAGCGTCGTTTCTTCCTTGCTAATGCATTTCTTTTTTTTGCTTTTAACGCTAACGAATACAACCTTTTGCCTGCTTTTAACGTGTATTTTTCCCATCTTAACGTACATTTTCCTTGGACTGAATTTTCATCCGACTCTAACTGGTCACACGACGCGCGCCGCGTGAAGAGCGAACGAGCAAACGGACTTGACGAGGCTACGGTTTCAATTCGATTTCGTAACAGTTGTCGATAATGCTGTTGCCGGTGTCTGTCCGCGCTCTGTCGGCGCTTGACATTTCCAATCTCTCTATAATAGCCTCTTGGTACACTCATCAGTATCGCGGATTTCGCACGCGTGACATATCATTTGCGAATTTCTCAGAATTTAAACTATGTCTCGCGGTTTCCGGATTGTGATGAAATCATTAGACTGGTAACGTCGAGTCCTCTTACGCAGACCTCGACGTAAGTTATCACAATGATCATTTTTGTGAAAAGTGCGATTCCTGCGGACCATGTATTTCCTCTTCGCGAGGTTGTTATCATCTTTGCAGAAACTTCAGCTTCAGGCGAACGTCGACGAACGTTCGCGCAACGTGTCGCCGGCTGTCCTGTCATTACGCCGGCGAATGCGATCTCGCGCTTTTCTCTTTGGCCGTGAAATGGCTCTCCCGCAATTTTCCGACTCGATCGATCGGCCTTAACGTGAAGGTCAGGTCGACCAAAGAACGCGACGATCGTCGGTGGTTCTAATCTATAAGAAATTGGCCTCGCGTGACAGGTGTGATAAGACGGACATGCACGATACATAGCGTGGACCAGCTAAACGCCAGGCAATTGTACATTCACACGCGAACAGTATCGCGAGCGAGAGCATTCGAGGTAACAAGAGCCGTCGAGAACGTTCCATCTCGATGAAGGCCAGGGTCAACGATTGCCGCGAAGTATAGCCAGAAGAAATTGGTGATAAAGATGTTTATATAGCTATGATTGCGCGTGCCTGCGAAATATTGCCTCGTTACGTATTGTGGCCTCCAATATTGTTAAAAATAGCCCTCAAGTTACCTGTTATGAGATATTAACGCGCTTGTTAGTCCCTTTAAGGGGAGAATTACATGCGTAGTAGGCCATTTTCAAAGCTATTTTTACGAATTTTTTTAACAGAAACGGTAGGATCAGTGGACTTGAAATTTTCACAGTGTATTCATTAATATTCAAAGCATAAAATAAATTTATTAGTATTTATATGAAAAGTACACACAAAACTTTAAACGCATTTATTCGGAAACACCATTTTCTTAAACTGACTTTAAAATGACTGTGAAAATTTTAAGTCCGTTGATCTTATTGTTTCTGTTAAAAATATTCGTAAAAATAGCCATAAAAACGGCCTTCCGCATATAATCCCCGCAATTCTCCCCTTAAGCGTAGTCTTGAGAAAAAGAAGTATCGCAATCTTTGCGGATATTTGTCTGGCTCGATTTTTAGTCAATTTGACTCGCAGCCAGGTTCGGGCGGCCAAAATCTGCGAAACTTTTCACTCAAACATTCTTTTTTTTCATTATAGTTCTCGTGGACATATTAATAATTATATATCGCTTATATTTACGAGATAACACAAGTTGAACGTACGTAATGGATTAAGGAAACACTCCCAAATATTATCGAGAGGATATCTGATGATCGGTAACAAGGAGTGGTTGAGGACGATTTCGTCTTTTCGGTGATGAAAAAGTTCCGATACTCCAGATAGAGTAAAGCTCTCCGTTATTGGTCTCAGCTGTGTTTTTATCCTTTTTGGATCTCGACCTAATTCAATATTGGAGGAACGGCAGGTGTTGCGATTCATACCTTTCTTACGACTCTACTTCATGTCGCAGTCCTTGCATCTTTTATTGCGAAGAAATTTCTCGAGATCTAATCGAACTCTTGCAGAGGATGACTCACAATTACGTCTTGACGCGGAGTGCTCTTATCGATTGCATTTATCGATTGCAGGAACGAAACGCTCAAAGTGATCCGTGAGCTTTGTGATGATTCGGTGTTGGCGTCAAACATGGAGCTTTGGAGAGGACAAGCGGCGAACCGCCTCATGAAGTATGAGGAACACCTGTATGAGTTCTACAAGCGGGGCGTGACGGACCTCGGCCAGAAAGTTTGGACGTTCTGGAATGCCGTCTTCTACTGCGGCACCATTTACACGACCATCGGTGAGTATGATATTTCTAGCCTCGCGGGAGTTAACCTTTAGAGGACCGGGATGGCTCCTGTAGGAGCCACTAAAAAACTCGAAAACTCTACGCGACATGATGGTTACATATATATATATATATATATATATATAAATTTTCCGCGAAAAGAATTGCGAATTTTAAAGATAAAAATGCCGGTCCTCTAAAGGTTAATTACCTGTTCACAAATGTGCCGTTTTTAACACGCCCAACTTCAGTAATGTAAAACAGACCTCTAGATAGACTTTGCTCATACATAATGTTTGAAGTCTAAATTAATGGAAAAAAATGACAAAGTCAGGCGCGCACGAGGCCGTTGGAGATTTATTCCTTCAATTTTTTTGAGTTTGTTTTTCAGGATCGTAGGCAAAGTCAAATTTGACTAAGAAACCTAGCTGAATTTTTAAAATGATTAGTTATTACAACAAACCATTTTATAAAAGAAACGGATAATGAATGAATTTGTCTGCGCAATTTTTTCGAGATATATCCTCGACACATCGAGAGTTACAGAATGAATATTTTCTTTGGTAAAAGGCAGTTGAGAAATTTTGACGCTCGCGTCAAGATGATGAAGTGGAAGTATTTATCGGCTGAGCGCGCGTCTTCCTCGGAACAGATTTTCTTCGGAGATTCTTGTTGAAGACGTATTTTGGTACGCGTCAAGATCAAAGGAGGGACAGAACGAGCGTATTTCGAGAACGTCTGAATAGTGACAAGACGTTTCCAACAAGTAATTCTGCGGTTGAGTTTTCGACTAAACTTGGTCGCGTTTTATAGCACGTAAAAGTCGGCGGGAAGATATTTTTATTTACACTCGCATGCGTGCTTGGTGAGATTCGATTAATTTTTCTTGGGTTTCCCTTCGGGCGAGTGATCGATTGCGTGCGTCCAAATGCAATGCGCCGGCGAGAAAAAACACATTTCGCCACCATATACCGGCAACATGCCGTGTATGTAATACGATGAATTTGAAAATTGCTGCGTATGTAGCACGATGCATTTTAAAATTGGTTATTACGCGTTGTTTCCAATATGCCAAATATACAATAGAGCTCCCGGTGATAACGATATCTCACGTGATGCGCAAACCTGTTGGTTGCGACCGATTGGTTGGTTACGCAAATGTATTTCTCGTAATCTGAGCAGTTATCGATATGCGTTATCGGAAAATGCGTCGATAGAAAAAAAAATATTTCGCAAAGCGACACATCATTTCCTGAGAGACAATTACCTAAAAGATAATTACGCAATTGAAGCCGACATCTCTTAGCTGGAAATACATATTAAAATTTAATAACGTCATTCTTGCATTATCGGCAGCACACAAATGGACGTATTTCGCAAAATGATATTAATTTTCACGTGACTAAGAAAATAATTTGAGCTGGAATCTCATCACTATAAATAATTAATTTGATATAAATTAATATACTAATTGATTTATTAATATATTAATTGATTTATTAATAATTTATTCGATAATTTGATAAATCGAGTTGTTCGGAGAACGAGATGGAGGCGCGCAAAAAGCATAAGATTCGAAATCTTTGCGATTTAGAACTTAATCCTCACTACGATGAGAGATGTTCGCTGAGACAAAAGACGTTTGTGTGAACCTCAGAAAGCCGATTACATGCATTTTCGCGTTTGTGACTTTCTAAAAGTCGCCGTTATGCCCACACGCGCTATTTCGAGTCTTGACATTGCGTAACGGGAAAGAAGGAATGAGTAAGATGATCGTGGGAAGACAAAACGCGGCTTTGTCCCCGATTTCGCAGCAGGTATGAGAGACAAAGAGAGAGAGAGAGAGAGAGAGAGAGAGAGAGAGAAGGGCAGGCAATTCCACAAAGTGAGCTTCTTCGAGCGAATTAAATTAAAGCGCCCCGTGCTTGTGCGTCGATACACCTGGCATTGCTGCTCTTCGATTGGCAATTAATCGCTGTCGTGTGTATTTGGGCGGTAAACGTCCTGGCCTTGATCGTGTGTCTAGCGAACTTTAATTAAAGTTGCGCAGGACATTGTCAGATACCCGATTTAGCATCTCACAAGTAAACCTCGGGGAACGTCAGACGCCGATTCGTTTCCAATTTTTTATAGTTATTTTTTATGTCAAAATATAAAGAAATCTGTTATCATTTTTAGCCTAAATTAATTTTTTCAATTTTTTCGAAATTTTTGAAGTTCTGCACAAGTACACTATTTTATACATATTTAAAACAATATTTCTTAGAAATATATATATCTGATTTGTTGAAACTTGCATACACATGTCGCCGATTATGAATCAGAACCATTTTGTAAAATTCAAAATCGGCGGATCTAATATGGCTGACGTCATTGTTGAAAAAATGTTCAGTTTTATGCTACATTCGACGTTGGGTAATCTTTCGGCTCACTATCCAGCAAACAAGCTCATTTTAACGTCAAAATCTGATAAAAAATGAACAAGAAATGAACAAAAAAAGAATGAACAAAAGACTTCAGAAATTTCGAAAAAATTGAAAAAATTAATTTAAGCTAAAAATGATAACAGATTTCTTTATATTTCTTGATATTCTTTATATTTAAAAATAACTATAAAAAATTGCAAACAAATCGGCGTCTGACGTTCCCCGAGGTTTACCTGTTAGAGCCGTCGCCGTCGGTTTGTGCACTAACGCGCACACATGTTCACACGCAATGTAACACTGGCGTTTGATCAACGTGAGGAATGTTGTCGATGATTTAATAATACGGACGACAAGTTTGTTACGTCGAGAAAATTATTCAACTTTGTGCAACTCCGCGAAATAATCCCGGCTGTGTGGAAGATCGATCTCCGCGAATGCGGATGTTTTTGAAGGTCGAGTTTCATGCGACAATACGCGAGCGCGCGTTGCACTCGGAAAATACGTTCTTATTAGGGTCGGAATGTTACTTCTTAAAAGCGACTTGTCGCCGTATCATCCGCGTTATCGCGTTATCGCAAAGAGCAATTCGTTACCGTTGATGTCACTCGTCGTGAAAAGGAATTCGTCGGTGTCATCGTAACTCTTCAAAAGTCGTCACATTTACTAATGAAACAACGAGAAGACGAATAATTTTAAGAATCAATTACAGGTGACGCGTTACTTTCCGATCCTGATTATCACTCGATACTATTTATGGCCTCGTCGTAATTACGATGAAGTCTGTAAATTGGTATCGCGCCATGTTAAATTTTCTGACAAGGTGAAAGACGAAGAATATCGGATATGCCGTTGATGAAAATGTACTTTTATGGATCGTATATTTCCGCTTGTACAAACTTGTTCTTGAGATCGACAACTGAGGCAACGAAGTATCCGCGCAAATATCCGCCCATATTCCGAACGATACTGCTTGCGAATAATAATCGTTGAATATTTCAAAACTGATTTCTCCAGACATTCTTTTCAAGGATCTCCATGTGCAGTGTTTGATGAAATTTTCAACGCGAGAAACTACCTCGGAAAATTATTCCTTCCTCGGATTGTTGATTTAATCATCCGAAATTACTGCAGATCTTTCTCCTAATCTGACCTAATTACTTTGTCATGGAATTAAATTACCATCGGAAGAATGGTTTAATCATTTCGGGTCACTGCACTTCTCCTTTCGCTCCTCTTGTCAACTATCTCTTTTGAATCGTACATGTTATAATTTTATATCACAGTTGTAATCTCTGTTGTACATACACAATTATTTTTCATACCTTCTGCAAATGTTTACAAACTTTTCCTACGAATTCTTGACGTCGTTACAACATTCGTTGAATCTTTCACCCGACATCCAATCGCAAACAGCCCAATTTCCAACATGTTGCTATTCGACGCGTCCTCAGACAACCCCAAGACGAACCCTTTCATCCCGGCAGGGTCACAGGGTCAAACGGTCAACCCCTCAGCGGTGGTGGTGCAGCGTGAACAAGATGTAGGATGGTTTGCGGTAGATGCAGGCGCGGCGTCGCGACGCCAAAGCGGGCGGGCGAGCTTTCGGTTGCGCGCGGCTCTCCCGTTCGATATCCGCTGCGGCAAAAGCCGGTTATCTGGTTCCGCTGTCGCCTGGTAGCGGACCAACGCTGCCGGCATCGGTGGTGACGACGACGACGACGACGACGACGACGACGACGACGACGGCAGTGGTGGTGGCGGCGGCGGCAGCGGCGGCGGCGGCGGCGGCGGCGGCGGTGGCGGCGGCGGCGGCGGCGGCAGCAGCAGCAGCAGCAGCAGCAGCAGCAGCAGCAGCAGCAGCAGCAGCAGCAGCAGCAGCAGCAGCGACCGTGGTAGTGTTAGCGGCGGCAAGGTAGTGGGAGCAGCCTCCGTTTTATTTCTGTCCTGGTCTCGTCGAGGCCGACCTGACGAGTGCACCGCGTGAGTACACCTCTCGCGCGTACGCGAGGAACCGATACGAGAGCACGAGAACCACTAGCGGGGGGTTGTTACGACATGGAGGACAGTTACACGGTGCACAGACGTCGCAAGGCGGCCGCCAGGAAGCGCGAGAAGACACCTGACCCTTCGTCGAGGGGTGCGTCGCGCATGGACGCGACGGACGACGAGGACGAAGAGAGGCGCGCCCGAATGGAGAGGATGGCTGAGGAAGCTGAGAGGATTGAGCGGCCGCAGGATACGCCGAAGGAGCCGGAGAAAAAGAGGGACAAGAAGATGGACCAGCAGCAGGAGCAGCAGCCTGCAGTCAGAAGGAAAGAGAGACAAAACGCGAGGAATTCCGCGAATGTGGATGACATGATTGCTATACGCGCCGAAGTGGCCGCTAAGTCAGCTGGGAATAGTTCGAAGACACGTGAGACTGACGCCGTCGCCGCCGCAACAGTGGCTGACGACAACACGCGGCCGGTAAAACAGACGGTCGAAGTGGCAAACAAAGCTGAAGACGATAGCCCGAAGAGAGAAACGACAAAACCTGAAGTTAATCCTCAGGTCATTCAGGAGAAAGTGGTCCAGGACACGTCGGAGACCCCGAAAGAGACGACTGTCGCCGACGAGGCCGTGAAACCGAGCGAAGCCCGCAAGGTGGAGAGGCGTCTGAAGAGGAAGTCGAAGGAACGCGTCGAAAGGTACAGTCGATCAACGGACTCCAGCGACATGGACGAGAAGAGCGAGTTGAGTCGGAGAAGAACGAAGTCACCCGAGGCAGCGAGAGTTCGGCTGAAGAAGACGAGTGGGAAGAGTCGAAGCAGCAACGATTCGGAGGCCCAGAAGAGAGATGCCGAGAAGTTGAGTCGCGAGAAGAGATCGCCCAGCGGACAGAAGTTGGAAGACACTGAACCACGAACTCAGGAAGGTAAGAAGGAAATCTCCGAGAGGTCGCGTTCGAGACCTTATAGTCAGACCGAAGACATAGAACCCGAGGAACATCCGAAGGCTATGAAGAAGAGCGAGAGCTTCCCGCAGAAGTCCGCCGAGGAGCGCGTTATCAAGAGATCCTCGAGCGATCTGAAGAAACAAATCATCCCGTTGAGCAACGACAGCCTGATCGAGGACTTCGCGAAAGCGCAGAGGCAGTACTTGTTGAGGGAGCGCAGCATCTTGGATCCGGAGCCCGTGGACGAATTTCAAGACGCGGCCGAAGCGAGTCTTCTGAGGAAGCGGAAGTTCAATCTGGCGCACACTGAGAGCGAACAGGAGAAAGTCGTGCAGGAGGTGGCGCAGTCCTCCGACGCAGCCGCCAAGCGGAAGAGCTGGTTCTCTTGGCTGACCTTTTGGCACAGCAAGGAGGACAAGGAGGACAAGGAGGACAAGGAGGATAAGGATGTCGCGGATGAGAAGGTAGAGGATGAACCGAAGCTCCCTGTGAAGGCTGAAGCGGCGAAACAAGAAGCTTCAGAGAAGGTCACGCTGTTGGACTTCTTCCGGGCTCTGCGAGACGTCATCAGCGAGTTCAAGGCCTTCGTGGCGCAGAACCCACGGGAGACGACGATCATCAGGAGAATGCGCAATCGTTGCGTCGCTGGGCTGATACTGATAATCATTTACTGCGGTCTCGGTGCCTTCGTCTTCCGGTTCGTCGAAGGCGCCTTCGAGACTTTCTACAAGTGCGGCGTGAAACGCGTGAAGAGAGACTTCTTGGACACTCTGTGGAACTACAGTCATAACTTGCGGGAGGACGACTGGAAGAGCATGGCGCGCAGGAAGCTGATGGAGTTTGAGGAGCAGCTGCACACCGCGCACGAGGCCGGCGTGCACAGCTATAGCGGCCAGAAGAGCTGGAGCTTCTTGAACGCGGTCGGATATTGTCTCACTGTCATCACCACTATCGGTGAGGATACGTCTTGGGGCGCGTTGAGCCGGGACTTCCTTTTTCATTCCTCCTCCGCCCCCTCTCTCATTCTCTCTTCCTGAGCCAATAAGCTATGCTAAAGTCTTCTTTTAGCATCGCTCTTTGGGTATTCATAGCCAAATCTTATATTTAAGATCGTCTTAATTTTATCTGAGGATACTGAGGTAGCTTTTACATCATCTTAAAATGAACTTAAGACGATGTTAAATATAAAATCGGACTATGGATACTTTCGTTCGTCTTTCCGCGACGAAGTTTCAGTTCAGCGGAGATCAGGGATGTTGAGAGCAAAGTTAGCGCAAAGTCAAGGGGGGATATGTATTCCCGTGGTGGGTTTCGTCGGAAGTAACTTCTTCAGGTAGAAGGCAGTTTCGCTGAAAGTTGTACTTTCTCTATCTCTATCTCCGTCTTTATCTTCCATTCGATGTCACAGTCATATTTAAAATGTCGGCAGCTTGACGGCGCTTTATCGATCAGCCTAAAAGGGTGAATTGGCGTTCTATCAGTGATGCACTTTATTCGACACGACGTAAGCGCAAGCGAAATGCAGATAGATATATTCGCGTTGAGAGCTGAGCGCGAAAGTTTCGCGCCCCGCTTGACGCAAAAGGTTTTATGGATTCCATATTGATTTTCTGACACGCGAATGCAGCGAAATTCTGATGTGTCGTGTCCGCGGTGTGTCAAAGGAATTGCGCACGCGTTGTTTCTGAGTGGAAGTTGAGTCAAAACAGCGGACGTGTTTCGTTCAGCATAAGGGGGAATATTTCTATCGGGAGATCGATATTGTGTCCATTTTGGACTAAAGCCGATAGAACACTCAAATGCGAGGATTAATGTTTATTTTGTTTATTGTTTATAAAATTTTTGATTTTTTTCTATTATATTATAATTTTGGGCTTTCAACATGTTAATTTTATTATCATCAAGTATCTCCTTTATTAATGTATTTTAATTTTTATGATTTTTTTCTATTATATTATAATTTTGAGCTTTCAATGTATTAATTGTATCAATTATCAAGAATCTTTTTTACTAATGCATTTTATTTTTCATACGCAACATGCGTGTTTATCAGATATTTCAGAGATATCTCTTAGATGTGTTTCCTTGAAGATGTTTCTAGGTATCTCAAGACTTGCATATTATCCAGATATAATTCAATAATACCATCATAATCATGTGGATAATTTTTTCTGAATCAGTTGGAGAAATCGATTTGTTAGAATTTGGGCATCGATGCGGTTTAAATCGTGAGGCGAACGCGATCGAATTTGGATCGTGAGAGTAAAAACGCTCATGGTTGTTCGGCGGTATCATTAATTTTGGTTATGCAACGCTCACGACTTCTAAGATTGTCTAATAAACCTGCGGGGAAGCGCACGTTTGTGATCATGCAGGTGGGACCGTTCAATCGTATTATTCGCTGAGTCAGTCGCGCTGGTTGTTTCTTTGATCGCGCGAGCCAAGATATATGCGATTTACGAGAAAACAACAACCGTCACACTGAGCACGGTCGGTTGAATAATCTAAATTTAGATTTACTCGCGACGTAAATGCTTGTTGCTCGCGCAACGTCGATTCAGATCGACGCAGACAAAACAGGCAACGACCGTTGGGAATTCATGCTATACATGCGCCCTGCAACTGAATTTGATAATGCGACAGTTGAATTGAAAATTTCGAGGAAATACAACATATCAATATGTGTCTGAAATCAATACGATATAAATATTACATACGATCTTCCCGTGCTAGCGGTTGAGCCGTAAAAGGGATGATATCTCGTGCAAAAATAAATAAGAAACATAGAGTAATATTTTCGCACGAGATTGTTTCAGAGGAAATAAACTTTCCTGAAAATAACGACAATATTCTTTCTTTACGCGACTGCTATACGCATTGTTTGAATTGTTGTTGAAAAGCTACGTAAGGGCTTTGTTGATTTTCTCGAGAATAAAATTTTGCAACCAAACGTTTTTATTCCACATTTCTGCACTTTATTCTTGCACGGGAGGAAAATCATCCCTTTCTCATTATTATTCTCATTATTCCGTCATGTATACCTCGTATAATATCGTAGTATCGTGCGCGTAATTGCTAAACTGGAAGATTCCCGATTTCAGGATACGGACATATCTCACCGAGCACAAACACGGGCAGAGCCATTACAATCGTGTACGCGATCTTCGGTATCCCGATGTTCCTCATTATCCTGGCCGACTTCGGTAAATTATTTACGCGCGGTATAAAGTTCCTGTGGGCATTCGTCAGGAGATTATACTACACTGGCAGCTGCCGCAAAGTTCGCCGCACCGTTCCCGTTCAGGTGACACTTTTCCGCACTTCTCCATTTTGCTTGATTTTTCACCGTTATTTTATTCGTATCTTTAATTTTATTCTGTCCTCACTCTTTTGTGCTTTCTCTTTCTTCTTTGTTTGTGTCTTTGATTTCTCGCTCGATCTGTTCCGTCGAGTATCCCGCTCCAAATTGTCTCGTTGGAAATTGCAGGAGGTCATGAAGGGCGTGCAGCTCGTCTACGATCTCGCAAAGTTCCGGAGGCCCTCGCAGATGAATCCTGAGGAGATCGAGGAGATGCAGAAGCAACAGGTGCAGCAACAGCAGACGGTCCTGAACCTGGACGCGAACGCGCCGGACTCGCCGGGAACACCCGCGTTGTCGGCGTTCGCTATCGACGACGAGTTCAATTTGCCGATTTCGGTGGCGATATTCATCCTGCTAGGCTACATATTCGTAGGCGCCACTCTCTACTACATGTGGGAGGATTGGGGCTTCTTCGAGAGCTTCTACTTCGTCTTCATCTCCATGAGTACTATCGGTTTCGGCGACTACGTGCCAAAGGTGACTATCGGGACTGAATGTTGCTTACACGTTGGTTTTGTGATGTCTTGAAGATAAATCTTCGTGTAGACGGTACCTTGCATCTAGATTTTTTCATTGACTTGTAGACATCGATTTATAACGATCGATCGTAGTCGGGAGAGACAAAGTCGGCACGGAGTCGAGGTAGAATCGATAGAAATTAGCGGGAGCTGGTCTCACGTTGGTCTGACCCATCCTCATTTGCTTCGTACAAGGTCAACGAGTTCGCGAATTCGGTTTGATTTGCCCTTAGCGTTCCTTTCGATTAGCCTCCGATCGAATCTCGCTTGCAATCCTATGACAGTCTGCGTCTTGTGTATAGTAAACAATTAACTCACTTCTCGTGTTTTCTCTCTTTCACGGTGGCGTTCAGATGGTAAGCTTCTTCATATACTCATACACACACACAAACACGATATTCCTCCTCAACAAACCCGCACATCATCGTAACGTATTAGTTGTTCCTTTTCTTTTCGCACGCTTGTTTTCTTTCGCGCGCTACGTCGTTCCGCTATGTTAGTGAACACGCCAACGCATACGTGCCGCCCAGAACAGAATCTAACGGATTCATTGATTGATTGATTTAGCATCCCATATACATGATGTGTTCGATAGTATACCTGGTGTTCGGCCTGGCCCTCACGTCCATGTGCATCAACGTCGTGCAGGTGAGTGGTAAAAGTTGATTAAAAAGGATAAAAATATGTGGACATATTTTAGTCTTTCAAACAAGAACAATCCAGCTTTCAATTTCCAACAGAAATTTCCTCTTGTTGCTCAAAGTCTCGTTTGCAATATCCAAACATTTATCTTCATGAGTTGACAAATACTTATATCGTGGGAACGAATATTAAATTAACTTTTGTCCTAAAAAATAGACTGGTCCTCAACTTACATGTTAATTAGATTGTCTTTATAGCTAAATTTTATATCGCACTCTCTCATGGCGTTCTTAATCGTTCGCAGATTACTATATTTATCTCATGTCGCTAATTTTACGACACAAGCACAGTGTGAGGATCCCACCGAAATTATGCATTGAGAAGATCACTAATCCGATCTAATTAACCCGATTCGCGTTGCCAGGTGATGCTGTCGGATTCGTTCAGGCAGGCGAGCCAGAAGATCGGAGCCACGATCGGCTTCGAAGTCGCCGAGGACGATAATTCGGTGAAACCAGCGGTACCGCCGCCGGTTGAGGTCGCAGACGTCCATGTGAGCATGAAGGAATCCGAGAGCGGCGAGAAGATCGCGCCCAAGGCCAAGCAGGAGGATGTCGACTTGTAGATGCATTTCTTCTAAAAACTCTCGACCCGATCGAGCGATTGCTCGCTCGCTCACTCGTTCATCCGTTCGTTCGCTCGCGCTCTCGTTAGCTCATTTCGCGAAACGCGTGCGATCTATCCGGCCTTAAGAATACTCGTCCGCTGGCTTACGCAACACGGAGACGCACTAATTGCCGCTGCACGCTCGTAATCAAAGCTTCGAGGTACAAATACGTCGTCGAGGTCGTCTTTACGCGACGAGATTTTCGCGACTCGTACGCGGCCGAAGATAACGAATTTCTTGGACTGTTCGTTTGTCGGGGTTGTGTTTGTGAATGTGAATTTTCATCGAATCGGATGATTGATTCCGCTTAATAAATTTTTCGCTGGTATCACATTAAAGGGAAAAGATAATAAGAGCCATCGCAAGCAGATAATTGAAATACATAGTCTTGTTTCAAACGGTGAAACCAATGTTTTTATGGCCTAAGAGAAAATTTCAATGCAAAAAATGCTTATACGTACAAAACAATAATATTATTTGCGCATTGTCGAACCTAAAATACTGCGGATGGTTTTCATCAATCTTTTTCTTTAATGTGATTGGATATCAGAAAGCTTTACTTAATATTATTTCAGCTAGTCTAATCAATACTCGTGTGGATCAATACTCGTTTTTTCTTTTTTCTTTTTTTTTTGGAGGAACCTGCCATAAATTCAGATTCCAAGTTCGACTCTGAGTTTTCGTGAATGTGCATTCGAAATGAAGACGAATCGTATATCGGCGGCGTGTCAGCGATGGAATTTCTAAAGCACAATTATACGTCCGTCTATTGTTGAAATCGCGTTAAGCGCGCGCGGTTCTCTCGAATAAGTGTATATATTTCCGAGGCGCGCACAAAAATGATGATGGCGTTCTCGCGCGATACCGGGGATCTAATTGCGTTTGCCGATGAGTGACACATATGCGGGTCTTTTCGTCTAGGAAGAGACGAGATTCGTCGACTATTTTTGTGAATAGTACACCGAACAGAGAAACAAATATCGTCACTTCGCAGCCGCGCTCTTGCCAAATGTTCGCGGGTCAGATATACTCGCGACTTATTTTTTGTAGTCTAGTGTCTTTTGACAATAAACCTAAGGAAACGCGTATTTTGTATATTTTGTAGTTCATGCGATCCGAGTATTTTGCCTTCTGAGTTGATTCTGACGTACCATACGATGGTATGTATGCGAAGCGATCGACTTTGATGGTTCATCCTCGGTTCGCAAATTTTAATCTTTTCTCTGCGACGAATTATTTCGACTAATGAATCTCCCGTTAGGCTCGAAAGGAAGCTTACAGCAATACAACTTTCTTGTACAAGGGGAATGTACTATTGGAAAAAATATGGAATATATACGTAAAAAGATGTGAACATATTCAAATACTTATAAAATACTTCTATATTCGAAACCGACGAATTTTGAATTTTATGATATGGCTTTTTTTGAATATTCCTATTTGATCTCGTCTATTTTTCGTAGATACGTCATTATTTGTTAACGTAACATTGTAACATCTAATAAATTAACCCCAGACAAAACAGTTGCAATTTTCGCGACGGAGACACAAACATTCGTGCCTTTTTAAAAATGAAAGAAAATTAGCTGTTGGACGTTTACGGAGGATACGGCGCAATGATTCCTGCGTGTGATGGAATCTAACCCATAATCGTCGCTACTTGGCAGGGATATTATTTTCGTTCTACGTTAAAGAAACCAAAGTGAATGGCTTGGTGAATATATTGCATCTTTGCGATTTTACTACTCGTTGAAAATTCACGTAAATTATGAAAAAAAAAAGCTATGTGTATAAATTTATTATTATAATAAGATACTTATATTAATATTATTGTACTTATTATTATTGAATTTACTTACAAATAAATGTATAAGACGATACTATGATCGGACTATTTTAATTTTATGTCATATCTAGCGTATTTCTCTTGAATAATTGGTCAGTGACGAACTCACCAATAAACGATTAACTTTAAATGTCTGAGGTGACAATGTAGAGACGTGTTCCTTGAAATTTGAGTCAAAGTGAATCGATCTCGTTATTCGTCAAGAATCAAGCACTCGAATCGAGATTCAATCGATACGAAACTCGCACATTTTTACCTTCTATGCCGTTTCATTGGCACCCCTGTATCAAGACAAAATGTTGTAGCTTCAGTGGGGACCCAAGATGGCCGGAGGATGACAACATACAGCTGTCAGTTGGTGCGAACGACAAACATTTTAAAGGGATTGGAGGGAAAATGTCTCACATTCAGTATGTGGACGAGTTGGTTAAGGAGTATTTGCTCTTCCGAGGCTTTAGTCAGACTTTGAAGGCTTTCGACAATGACCTGAAGGCGGAGAAAGAAAAAGGATTCAGGGTAAGAGTAGTTATAAAGAAACAGTAAACGTAGAGATAATGTGCAGACTATAAAGAAACGCGATAGGACGTCGAGTAAAATAAGGATATCGCTCGCAAAAATTTTATGATAATTGTACGGCAATTGTTTGCGTATACTGACTATCAGAATGCTCTTCATGTTTATCAATATATGAAAATTCATTTTACCAATTACGACGACTCAAAAATATCTCCATATCATGTCTGATCAAACAGGTAGACAAGATAGTGGATCAATTAATGCAATACATATATAATTACGACTTGGCATCATTGAGGGAATTATGGGGACACTTGGATACTAGAATGTTTTGTCGACTGGAGAGTCACTTCACACCTGCCATCAGAAAACTGGAGAATGCCGTGCTGAAAATGTACCTGGTGAATGCAGCAGTGAATGGTAAACAAGACAGAATTCAGGAATTTTTTACCAAAATGGCACCAGAATTACAGGGTCACTCAGAATGGAAGGAGTGGTTTGGTATATATGTCTTATTTATTTTAAATATCTATAATAATGCTAATGTACATGTGGAATTTTAATTACTTTCTATATCATATTGCAGCATTTCCCTTTATCAAGAATCCTGAAGACAATCCGACTTATTCCGTGCATTTTAGTAAACAGTGGCATGATACTATGTTGGTATCTTTACATAATTTCCTAGCAACAATTTTTCAAGTAAGTAAAAGAATATTTTTGCTGTACTCTATATGTATATATATATATATATATATATATATTTTAATATTATCTAAAGTTCATATAATAAGAAATTAATTAGTAAACTAGATGCAGATATTTGTTTGACTGAATAATGATGAATATTTTGTTGATAAATTCTTGTCAAAACATAGTGCAAAATTAATTATGCTGAAGTATGATACAGGATACAATGCTGATTAGATTTATAGAAATTTAATATGCGATTATCATAGTGCATGCCACAACCAACGTTACTCACGATAGATGAGGATACAAACAAGTTAAAACGACTGCAAGAGGAGAATGAATTACTGAGGCAACGACTGAGCGACTCTATTAAGATAGAGAGCGTGTCGGATGTGAACCCAGGCCCAGCACCCCAATATCCACAAATTATGGACGACTTTTACATTATTGCTCAGTATGTATCCGTCTACCTCGTGTCTTATATAAAATAGAAAAGAAAAAGATGAAAGAAAGGCTTTTTCAATCTAACACAAATTTTGGTACTTAAATAATAGAGAATCGCCGCTACTGGAAAATCCTAAGACACTGCGAAATCTCATAAGGAACATTGGCGGCGGGTCCAGTCCAATTTTAAGTAGAAAACCTGCAACAAACATAAAGAAACTGGTGGAACCTGAAGCGAGCGCGACGAAACGCACGAACACGAAGGGACGAGTGAACTCGATTAGCAAGTCCGAAGCAGTCGCCAAGAGGAGCATCAGCTGTGATTCAAGATTAAGTAGTTCTAGGAAAAGAGACTCTTCTATGGATACTGCTGTCGAGAGGAAGACTAAGGAAAAGATAGATTCCAGTTATATTCTTCTAAGTCAGGTACACAACGTCGAGACAGTTATCCCGACTTCCGGAATATATTTTTATATTCGTGATTGTCTCAATTATTCATATGATACGCGAAACGTTTGCAGGAGGAATATACTGAACACAAAACCTCCATAATTCAATGCAAGAGCAACGCTAGCGGATCGTACGTCGCAACGGGCGATGCCGACGGTATCATTAAAGTATGGACACCGATTCCCTCACCAAAGCAAGTCAATTCTATACTTTACATAATTTTCTCTAGCACACGGCGCCGCGACACGCATTCCTCACTGTCGATATTTCTCTCAGGACCGTTACCACGTTCACTTCCGCCACGGCGAATTCTAACAAAGCCATCACTTCGTTAGACTGGATATCAAAGAACGAACGCTACTTTCTACATGGCGACAACAACGGCTTAATCCAACTACATGACACGCGAGACTGCAAAACGCTCTGGGAAATTCAGCACGAGAATTCGCGTATCGTTACGCTGATCTGCAATCCGACGGAATCGACGTTCGTTTGCTCCGTGTCGAACGGCAACGAGGGCAAGCTGTTGTTGTACGACATCAAAACTAGGAAACTCGAGAGAACCCTGTCGATGGAGCAGAACGTCACCGCTCTGTGTTCCGCTTTCAATCACAACGGCCAATTACTTATCACGGGGCTGTCCAATGGCAATATATTAATACACGACCTTCGGCAAAATGAGATAATCGACAATCTCAATTGCCACTCTAGCCCGATAATTGACATAGAATTAATTAACGATTTCACGAACATATGCGCGCAAAGCGAGGACGGTAAACTATGCCAAAGAAGTTTAAATCATTCGGGTAAGATTTTGTGGGAGACCAAGATCAAGATCGAGAAAAACCCTGTACATGGGAAATTGTTCACCTTCGATCAAAGCGGGAGTTACATGTTACTCTGCACGCAGACCGGAGGCAATATATACAAGGTATGTGTGCGTTAGATTTAATTAATCCGATAATATTTCTTTACGAACTTGTGCAGATTCATGCTCAATCTTCGTCTATATATTCCTACCAAACTAACGTTCTCGTCTCACTGCAGATGCCACCAGGCGCTCAAGGGAAAATTTTAGAGCTAGGCGGACACAAGGGTACTCTATGTTGCGACTGGTCAACTGCCAATCAATCTGGGACTTGTATAACCGGTGGTGCGGAAGGAAAGGCACGAGTGTCGACGCTACTTTCACCATGATATAGGAACAAAATTAGTATTTGTGTAAATTCGTAAGATAAATAGCTACTAAATTACATCGATGGAAAAAATATTGTAGATATTATTTTATTCGCTGTATCAAAGTCTTGGCAGTGAGTGACTGTAGTATAAGAATATGTCAAGATTTCGAGACGTTACATCATGTATATCGCCAAAGCGTTGGTAATTTTGTGTAAAAAGAAAAAAAGAAAAAAAAAAGAGGAAATCAATATATTTTATGGGAAGTACAATGAATGCCAATGTATCGTGTATCTCGGTAGTTATTAGTAGCAACTGTAATATAATTGTCTTTTATCTTTGAAAAGAGCAATCAGGGACTACTAAACGTAAAGTGTACAAAGAAAAAATATTTATAGGAAAGATGTTATGAAAGATTTCTGGTGTTATCTCTGCGTAACGATTTTATTCAGTTTTGTAATCTAACTAAAAGAGATGAGAGGAAAAAGACAGTTGCAACATGATCGTATGTAATGTTATGGATTAAAAAATGTACAAGTGAGGAAAATGTCAATAAATACGAGTCAATTTTAGAATTATGGGTGTTGCATGTCATTCTCTAATATCTCCATGGACAACTATAATTACAGTTGCAACATAAACTAATCATATTTTCTTGTGTGGATATTTTCCATTGTTATTTTAGAACATTTGATAATCATAATTGAGTCTCTTACCTCTTTTTCCTTCAATTCTGTATATCTAACAGGAAAGGAGTTTTAAGTGTGGTCTTCGCATAGACCATTTATTAAATGGGCCTGTCATAGCTAGCTGTGGAGACCAATATCTCCTAAGGGCTTCGGATATCTCTGAAGGAGTTAGTGGTTTTGTTGCGACACTCTACAGGGAAAGAAATAAAGAAATGTATTGTATGTTTTATAATTTTCATAAACTACAATACATACCTTGCCATGATAATAATGGCTTGCAATGTACGGTTTGTATGTAAATGGATTAACATGGTTCAATCGTTGTCGGTCTATGGGATCACCATGTATTTTACTTTGATCTTGCCGGACCAGAAAGGCAAGATCGACAATTTGAGCAACTGTTTCATAGGCCAGATAACCTAAGATTGTATATGCTTGTTTCGAAAGTGTGATATCTCCTGTAATTTATGAAATATATATATAGTATATATACATACACATATACACAAGAATGTTAAAGATTATGCTAAACAGTATCTTACCATCTGTGCAAACCCAATCACTGAATTTATGGCGATTTTTGTTTGCAAAGGATACACGACGTGCTTTACTATACTTCATATAACGTATCTCATCCATGGATCTTGTCACTATTTCTGCACGAACGCATCTTTGTTGTTTGATATCATCCATATTGGATGGTGTATTTTCCAGAAGTTCACCTGTGTTATCAATCTGTTCTAGGAAACTTTGAAATGGTAGTTTTTTACTAATATCATTCAGCTGGTCAGCATCGGTTATGTTTTCTGGCATATCAGTCTCCAAAATTTTATTAACTGAACATCCTAATTCCTTCAACTCTGAAAAGAATATTTTCAAAATAGTAGCAAGAACAATTACACAATGTATTTATAATTGAAACTTTCAGCATATATTTACCAAGATATCTAACAAGACGACGAAGTTTAACTTTGTCTCTACGCAATAAGAAAAGGAGGTCTTCTCCACTAAGGATATTGCTTTTTGTTGAACTGGCTCGTCTGTCAGCAATCTCACAACTTCTCTTGACAATTGCTCTCATTTGCTGCAATACAACTTCTTCTATGATTTTTGCAGATTCAAACAATGGTTCACTGCTGTCACCAAATCCATGCATCATTTGCCGGATTTCTGTATAAATGCAAATTTTAATAATAAACATTTATTTTGCATAATTACTAAATTCAATTAATATTTATTAAACATACAATTATTGGTAACAAATATTGCAATCTACGATAAAATCGATACAAAAAAGAAACATCGTTTGCATTAAGTAAGTTTTAAAGATATTATATAAAATATATTATGAAGAATTTCGTTTTTGTTTTTTCTATATTATATATATATATATATATATATAAAGGTCAGTATATAACTTTGTAAAATATTTTAAACATACCGTGAATATAATTCACTGCTTCAGTAATTGTTGGTTTTGTAAATGATGCGTCTGTCATTTTCGCTTGTAGTACTTAAAAATCACTTAAAAACATAAAAGCTCTCTGACTTGATGATATTTGATATCTTCCCTTCTTCCTTCAATAGATGGCTCTGGGCCTGTGAGAGTAAGGCCTGGTCTACAATAGGTGTTGTAAGCTGTAAGCCATAAGAATTGACCAATTATAGCCGGTTATTTTTGTAATAATCGACTGTGATTCGCTAATTCTTACGGCTTACAACTTACGACACGTATTGTAGACCAGGCCTAAGGTGTAAGTGTAAGTCTCTGTATTACCGGCATGACAAATTTCCTAACGTCGTGTGTCATTTTTAACAATTTATTTTTCGCAAAGTAGAGCCGAGCGACGATTTTAACTTCCAGATTCGGCTTCTACACGCCAAAATACACAAGATAGGTGAGTTTGAGCGAAATCCAAGGTGAAGCCCGTCTTCTAAATAATTACTTTATCTTGTTATATCTCCTAAACTACAAGCGACCCTCCTATAGTTATATTAGGAAAAGTTATTCAGAATTTCATGCTTTATAACATATTTCAAAATAAATGCAATCGGAGAAGTGTCCCCTTTTCTATATATTTACCAAGACCAAAGACTAATCACAAGAAACTTTTCCCATAAATTAGATATTTTAATTTAAAATAATAATTGTTATTAACATTAGCATTAACATTAATATTAATAATTTAAAAATATTCTTTTCTGCTTCTCTGTAATGTTTATTTTTTCAATTTTACTCTATCTTTCTAATAATTAACTCAACTAAAAATAAAATTCAAGTAAAAGTAATAATAATTGCAGATTATTTGCTATTGCAAATTATTGTCATGTTTACTTTCCTCTGTAAACATTATTGTATAATTATAAGATATATACTTGAAAGGTAGAAAAAATACATATATTAGTTTAGTGATATATTCATTGTTTAGCTACATCTTCTGGTACAACTTTGGCTACTTTCCGAAATTCTTTGCTCATGGATTTTGGACATTGCATTTGTGTCCAGCTGATTGGTACCATAGTCACACCTATTAAATTATTGAAATAAAAGAATAAAGAGGAACATGTATACACACACATATTTGTACATATTGTATATATATGTACAAATTTTTACCTTCTTCACTATGGGCTATAACTACTCCTAATTCATTTTCTGCAGTACTTAGTTGATAAGTATGAGCTTCTGTCATTGGCATCTATCAAAAGATATAGGAAGAAACAACAGCTGAATATTTCTGATACCTAAATATTAGATTAGAAAGATCTCTGTTATCTAATAGTCTTAGATGTCATGTCAAAGGATACAACTCTTGCTAAAATTATATCTCCTGCTCTATAGGATTTATACATGTCTATTTTATCTTTGTCATGTGCTCTTACATCTTCTTTCCTTAAAATCCCTCTGTAAGGCCTTGTCAGTACTATATCACCTACACACTTAATACTGCATTTACAAAATCTCTGATTAACTAGAATCACCATTGCTGTAACAATATCTCCTGGCGTAGGAATGATACTTTGTTCTGTTATACCATGTACTTGAATTATACGAGTCTACAACATGTACTTAAAGATATTTATTCTGTTACAAGTAAAGAAATATATATATATACTTACTTTATCATTCGTTTCTAATTTTACAATACCAGCAAGTTTTGAATAAATGTAACCTTGCTGCTCGTATGTCCCGGGTCCTGCTATATTAATTTTGTCACATACACATAATCTTTGTCCTTTAACAAGAAAATTAATTTAATATAACATAAATGTAAGATTTTACAAATTAAAGAACATATAATTTACCAGGTACACAAATAATAAGTTCTTCGTTTTCTTCCATTATTTTATCTTATGCTCTTTTCATCATATATACCAGTATTAATGTTAACGAAACAGGTCATATTAAATCACATTACAACCAGACAAAAGGAGAAAGGTCATGGGTTGCTTTCAGCTGAACCAAGTGTGGAAGCGCTCTCTGTACAACCGTGTGCATGAACTACGATGTCAATGTCCACAGTTACCGACGAAATACTATAAACAGAGAGGAACCTCAGAGCGACCAACACGTTTTCGGCGACACCGACTTTCCGCACTGGGAAAGGGCGTCATCTGCATCCATTTTGAGAGAGGAACTACGATGCTACATTCACTTTCAGGTCTCGGCGGTAAAACCTGCATATGGTGGCAGTCCGTGCTACATCCACATTCAGACGGTTTATGTTCGTGCTACAACCATAATAACGTACTTGACAAGCACGGTCTCGCACATTGTTATGCCTAACATGAATTAACATGTTAACATGCGCAAAATAAAAGAATTGAGATTGTGTATGATTAATATCATGAAGATTATATATGACATATATCGTATAAATACAGGATGTCCGGTAATTAGCTGCCAACCCGAAGTGTGAAGGTAGATCGGGTTAAGACAAACATAAAAGTTCCATACCGTTTTGCGAGATTCGCAATAATTATTAAGTTATTAATTACAGATGAGCGCGGGCTGAGACGAATGAATGGAGAAGTGTCGTAGCAGAGAGAAGAACATCATTAACATGGATGTGGGTGACGTGGATGTGAATGTGAATGCGGATGGGGATGAGGGTGTGGATGTGGATGCGGATGAGGGTGTAGATGTGGATGTACATGTGGATGTGGAAGATGAAAATGCAACTAAAAGCTTTAGGAAAACCTATGAATTTAGATATTTGGCATAACTAACGACAATTTATCTTAAATAATAATACAAAAAAATCAATATATTAAAAAAATATCAAAACATTATAAAACTTAAAAATACCTGTATATTGTAAGAATAAAAGTATAATTCATATTTTGTTGCCTTCATTATCTGTTTTATATTATACAAAAATATATTAATATATATATTAAGAAACAAATATACATATTTTAGAAACTTCATATTCAAGATAGGCACATAAAAATATCGTACATATTTATAAAATTTCTCCGGCTCGCATATGATTTATATATATGATCTATATATATGAATAGGCCAACTAGATAGTAGCGTCTGCAACTTTTCTGCAACTTTTTGGTCATTACGGACATGGAAATACACGGGCAAAATAGGTGTGTCGGAGGGGGATGGTCAGAGACAGTGATAAAAAACAAACAAACAAACCTAACAAAAGCTGCAAGAAATAAAGCATCAGTGCGCAATGTGACGTAATCAAAGGACTGCACAACAATATCACCAAGTAATTAAAATCTTTTTTAAAAGAGGTACGACAGGGATTGTCCGGCAGGGATATCGCGGTGCCGGCTAAGTTGTCGATGATCTTGAAGCAGTTCTGTATATCCATACGTAGCCGTATGATCTGCTCAAGTGGTCCAGCTCGTACTTTCGCGCGTTGGCGGACGGCGAGGAGCCGCTGGCTAAGTCACAACTGGAATATCCGCTGCCAAGTACCGCCTCCGGTCTGACTCTCCGGGCTTCCTCAGGGTGCTGTTGCGACAATTTGGAAGTAGATATCGCTCTGAGACGTTCCTCAATTGACGAAGAACATGAGGAAAGAAAGCCCGCTTTTAAAAAAAATCTATAATACGCAAGTAGAGTTCTGCTTGTGTTTCTCTTCGACCTTGTCATTTATGATTTGTACCACTAATTACAAATAGTAATTCTCTTGCTATTGTTATTTTAACAATATATACAAAACATGATGATTTTAAATTTTATTAATTACAAGTTCAAAGAGAAATATAAGCAAGAAGAAAACGAGACGAAAAAAATACAAGTAGAATTTTGATTTAAATTCTGTCGCGAATTTTAAATTATCTTAAAGTAGGCTTACACTCTTGATATAACATTCCAACATATTCATTACTTCTCGTTGCAGATTATAACAAAACTCTACCCTTGGAGGCGATCGCGTATTGTTGTTTCTGCGTGGGATTGTTTCTGCTTGAATCGTCGGGACTTTCAGACGATCGCGACGATCGGCCAGTTTCGCCGTAACTGCCAAATGAAGAGGTTCTTGGCTATCGCTGTGGGTCTCCTTGGCGGCAACCTGACTGAGACAATGATCATGTCTGCCAGTTGTTCAACCACGAGGCCGACAGTGGCTCCGCGATGATTCCGCTCAGTTTGTTCATACAGATATACGAGTAAGTGCCCGGAGAACATGAATATGTTTTAAGACGTCATGAAGACGTCACGGAGAAGCAATGAGACGTCTCTTGGACACGCATGTTGCACGAGGAGTTGGCAAGTCGACGGAACAGCGGCACTGACAGACGTTTTTCCGACATTTTTTGAACGTAACTGTTGTGATCGAGAGGTACCTGGCGAGATTGGTGTGTGACGGTAATGAGATGAGTTCCTGCGACGAGGAGACAAGCACACGCAAGGACAGCTCCATCCATCACACATCTTCCGTGAACAGCCAGGACACCGACGCGGACGTTAATTTGGAGTCAATGTCGAAGGACGAGGTCGACTCGTACTCAAAGAGTACGTTGTCCTCCTTGTCAATGTTCTCTAGTATTGAGCTGTCATACAGAGTTCCTCTCACGTATTCGTATTTTCCTCCGGCACCCGATCTATCGACGGAACCGATAGCAAGCACTTCGTTGGACAGGGAAGAGAAACTGGGTGCTTCGATCGGCAGGGATCGCGCGGGTAAGAGTACTACGTGTGGCATGAGTTTGGGGCACGAAGGACGCAAGCAATAGCGACGAGAGTGTCCACCGCAACTGAGAATGACGCGAGAACAACGTGCCGCCTGAATGTACCCAATAATCGATCGGACATTTCCCGTTAAACATACTCTTGGAGAAATTCATCAATCGTGAGCTCGTGATATTGGATACGCCAAGTTTGGCTTTTTCGACGGTAGTATTCTACGAGAGAAACATGACACATAAAATTACCGATTCTTCAGATTTCGAACGTTTAAATAGTTATATTTTCAGTTACATTCAGATATATTTTAAGTCGTCGATCTTTAATGGTAAAGTATACATTTTTAGAATCATGGATTTAAAAATTATAAATTTATATAGTTATAGATAAAATCAGTCATAGATTAATCTTCGATATCTCCTAAACGGTTAGAGTTACAGGCCTGGGACTGGCACCAAAATAAAGTCCTCTCAAAACCCTACATTTTGGACTACATGGACGACTCTCTACTCCCAGTAGAAGCGGAGATATCGACGGAGGAAGGCTGGATATCGACGGAGAAAGGCTGGAAAATTTTAATCTTCCATATCTCCTAAACGGTTAGAGATACAGGCCTCGGTCTGGCATCAAATTAAAGTCCTCTCAAAACCCTACATTATCGACTACATGGACGACTCTCTACTCCCAGTAGAAGCGGAGATATCGACGGAGGAAGGCTGGATATTGACGGAGAATGGCTGGAAAACTTTAACCTTCGATATCTCCTAAACGGTTAGAGATACAGGCCTGGCTCTGGTACCAAATTAAAATCCTTTCAAAACCCTACATTTTGCCGTAAATGGCGACTCTCTACTCCCAGTAGAAGCGGAGATATCAACGGAGAAAGGTTGGAAAACTTTAATCTTCGATATCTCCTAAACGGTTAGAGATACAGGCCTGGCTGTGGTACCAAATTAAAGTCCTCTCAAAACCCTACATTTTGGACTACATGGACGACTCTCTACTCCCAGTAGAAGCGGAGATATCGACGGAAGAAGGCTGGATATCGACGGAGAAAGGCTGGAAAACTTTAACCTTCGATACCTCCTAAACGGTTAGAGATACAGGCCTCGGTCTGGCACCAAATTAAAGTCCTCTCAAAACCCTACATTATCGACTACATGGACGACTCTCTACTCCCAGTAGAAACGGAGATATCGACGGAGGAAGGCTGGATATCGGCGGAGAATGGCTGGAAAACTTTAACCTTCGATATCTCCTAAACGGTTAGAGATACAGGCTTCGGACTGGTATCAAATTAAAGTCCTTTCAAAACCCTACATTTTGGACTACATAGACGACTCTCTACTCCCAGTAGAAGCGGAGATATCGACGGATGAAGGCTGGATATCGATGGAGTAAGGCTGGAAAACTTTAACCTTCGATATCTCCTAAACGGTTAGAGATACAGGCTTTGGACTGGTACCAAATTAAAGCCCTTTCAAAACCATACATTTTGGACTACATGGAGGACTCTCTACTGCCACTAGAAGCGGAGATATCGACGGAGAAAGGTTGGAAAACTTTAACCTTCGATATTTCCTAAACGGTTAGAGATACAGGCTTCGGACTGGTACCAAATTAAAGCCCTTTCAAAACCCTACATTTTGGACTACATGGAGGACTCTCTACTCCCAGTGGAAGCGGAGATATCGACGGAGAAATGTTGGAAATCTTTAATCTTCGATATCTCCTAAACGGTTAGAGATACAGGCTTCGGACTGGTACCAAATTAAAGCCCTTTCAAAACCCTACATTTTGGACTACATGGACGACTCTCTACTGCCACTAGAAGCGGAGATATCGACGAAGGAAGGCTGGATATCGACGGAGAAAGGTTGGAAAACTTTAACCTTCGATATCTCCTAAACGGTTAGAGATACAGACTTCGGAATGGTACCAAATTAAAGCCCTTTCAAAACCCTACATTTTGGACTACATGGACGACTCTCTACTTCCCAGTAGAAGCGGAGTATCGACGGATCAAGGCTGGATATCGA